CCCCCCCCCCCCCGCCCCTCCGAAAGCGCTGGCTACTCAAGGGGAACTCTTGCTATAGGACCAACAGCAAAAGGGAGGCCAAAGCCTTTGCTCCACCTTCTGGCCATCTCCTAACGCCAGGAATGTGTCCCATGCGCCCGTCCCCTTGGTTGCTTGTAAAAAGGAGCGGAGGGAGAGGGTCTCCCCAGACAGGGGAGCTGCCTTCCTTTCCGGCTGAGCTGACGTCTGCTGAGAGGCCCTGCTGGTCCGACAGACAGACTACAGGGTGCTGTATACGGCGGGCAAAGAATCGCCAGCGTGCATCCGATGTACAAGAAAAGCAGCGACATGTACCGAAGGTCACAGGAGGAAGTGCTCGGGGCAGGTCCAGGCCGAGAAAAATGTAGCACGAATGGAAAAACGGCACAGGTCCTAGAAAGTAAAAAATGTGCACACACACGTGTACACGCACGCACACGTCGGGCTTTTGGAATTTTAGGGAGGGGCACCGGGCCCAGGCACCGCTGCCGGGGTCTCCAGGCAGGAGGACGGAGAGCTTAAGAGGGTCCTGGTCATCCCGAGTCGGGGTCTGAAAGGCACTGTCTGCCCGAACTCGGCTGGTTACGTGGCAGGAACAACGCCAGAGGCTCCGGCTTCCGGTCGACGCTTCTCCAGGCCTTGACCATGGTCACGGGCCGGGGGTTCTGTGGAGACTTCCCTCCTGTCCCCGCCGCTGCCCGGGCTGCCGAGCTTCGCAGGATCAGCCTCTTCCGGGGGCTGCTCTCTCTGGGTTTCTTTGGATGCGCACGGGAAAGGGCCTGGGCCAGACACCCCAACTGGGAGAAGAAAAGGAAACTGGAGCCGGGTGTTCTTCACCAAACCGTCCCCGATGTTTCCCATTCCGGACCTTCGCATCGCCAGTAAAGGTTAGAAAATGCAGAAAAGCAAGCAGGAGGGAACAATGACTGGAGGGACGCCCACCCAGGGATCCACGGGCACATTTCCTGTTCTAGCTTTTCTTTGTAAAGCCACGGAATTTAAGAAAAAATTATGGTTGGGACCCAGTGTGTATTTACGTCGGTTTATTCATCAGAAAATTTCCGGAAGTTTTTTTTTTCCTGTTATGTTTTTGAAAAATGATTTTTCAGCTGGGCACGGCGGTACACTTTGGGAGGCTGAGGTTGCAGGACCCAATTTCAACTCCTGCCTGTCTCAAAATTTACCAGATGTGGGTGGCAGCTGGGGGTGTAGCTCGTGGTAGAGGCCCCTGGGTTTGACCCCCCGAAACCAAACGGAGCACAGGAGCCCATCTTGCTGCCGCTGCCTCACCTCCCACCAACGGGTGCGGCCTGCTTTCCCGCCCGGGCCCCAGGGTGGGTTCTTGGGTGGAGAGGACCACGCTGTCTCCCTCGCAGTTTCCTCTGTAGACTCCTGCTGCTGTGGCCACGCGTTCTCCATTCTCGTCCGGACAGAATGTGCTTGTACTGCCCGAGAGGCTGGGCGGCCGGGCCGGTGGGAACCAGGCCAGGCTTTGGGCTCACACCCATGCCCTGCAGCACCTCTGTCCTCTCCTGGGTTCAGACTGAAATCTGCCTGGGAGGGGAGCCCCAGGCAGCCCCTGCCTGCCCAGCAGGGGGTGTGGTGGATATTTCACCTGCAGGCCACACTTTGGCCACAGGGGCGTTAGGGAGGGGACACCTAGATCCAAAGGGTAATAATCACCTAGGAAAAGACAACCGAGCCAGGACAGCCACTCCCCTCCCCGTGACAAACACCCACATCACTTCCATTTAATCCACATCCGCTCCCACACACAAGGGCACCGTGTTTGCTGTCGGCTCACGGATCCCTGCAGAGACCCGGCCTGGGGCCCCAGCCCAGCTTCCCTTCCCTTCCGGTCCCCTCTCCCAGCACCACTCAGTCGTGGCTTGGTCCTGGCTTGGGCTCAACGGCACCCACGGATCGAGTGGTTTTCGCTGCCCGCTGCCCGCTGCCCCACATGGAGGGAGAGTCATGTGTGGGGTGCGAGGGAGCAGACCCAGGGCCTGTGGGAGCGATGTCTGCTGCCCAGCTCTGCCCCCCAGCCCACCTGCAGGGGTTTCAGGTCTCTGTGGCCAGGCTGTGCCCCAGACTGATTAGATTGCAGTTGCAGGGTTGTAGGGACAGGCTCAACGTGTCTGGGCGCCCGCTGCTGGAAAGCCCGGGACTCCGTGCTGTGCCGTGCGCCAAGGCCCTGCGGGCTGCCGTGGGGAGCGGGAGGACCCCCACGTCTGTCCGTAACGTTCCGAGTGCCAGGCCACCGACCATGCCTCTGATGGTGGCGGGGACCTCGGAGTGCCCCTGATTACCTCCTGGAACGGGGAAAGGGTGGTAACCCTAAGGTCACGCTACCCAGGACATTTTATTTTAATTTTTAAACTTTTTTTGGTACCGGGGATGGAACTCAGGTCCTTGCGCTTGTGGGGGAGGTGGCGGAACCACTGAGCTAGGACATTTTCTTAGACAAAATTGGGCTGCCAGTCTGCTGCTGAGCTTCAGGGACTGCTCCAGGATAACGGCATCAGAGAACAAATGCAGATTTAGCCAGACTCTGCCCCTGTCCCCATTAAACACTGACCAGTGGCGTAGGCCCGCTGTGGTAAGAGCACCTTGCTGCTAACGTCACATAAAACCAGAGCTGCCCCATGTGTTGATCTGGGTCCGGACCTGGCTGTCCCCTAGCAGCCAGACTGCAGGGCTTGGATGCAGGAGGTGACAGCCAGCAGCTGTAACGACTGTCTCTGGGGCCACACGGGAGGCAGTGGCATTGCCACCTGGGCCCCTGTCCCTCCAGGCTGAGACTGGGGGCCGGCTGCCCTCCTCCCATGCAGGGAGCCCCGCAGCCTGGCGGGGGCGGTGATGCCTGTGAGGTACATCAGTGTCTGGCCAGCTGCATCCAGTAGGGCAGGGAGGGAGCCCCGCGGGGATGCGCAAGGCACCAGCAACCCTGTGCTGGGGAGCCGAGGAACCTCTTCCGGCCTGCGTGCGGTGCCATGCCCTGGACACCAAATGCCACCACTAAAGCTGCTTCCTGGGGCCTGGAGGCGGGAGGCCGCTGGCCCCTGGGGAGCTCTCCGTGGGCCAGAGAGGCAGGCACACCATGCTGAGCCTGTGAGCAGCAGCCTCACTCCTGGACCAGGAAGTTGATGAGGGCGGTCCTGGGGGACAGGATGGCCTTCTTGATGCTCCGCCCTTGCAGCAGCCGGGCGCCCAGCTCGCTCTGCAGAACCAGCTCGTGGACGCGGTCCTGGTCTCTAACCACCTGCTGGGGCACGGGGACCTTGCCACAGGCCTTGTTGTTGATCTGCGGGGGAAAGAGAGGTCGGCCTGAGCACAGCCACAGGGAGGGGGAGCCAGGACAGAGGGAGGGGATCAGCTGCGCGCACAGGGAGACGCAGGCAGACAGACGGACAGACGGACGGACAGCATCTGTGTTCTGAGCCCCAGCACAGCTGCGGCAGGAGCAATGCCCTAAACCCTCAGCCTGGGTCACTGGGACCAAGTCCCACTCCACTCCTGGGGGGGAGCAGGCTGTGCTCTGGGTTTTGCAGAGGTCGCCAGTGGCCAATTTCTGGGAGTGAAGTCGGCCACTCTTTTTCATGCCCACCCGGGGCACTTGGTGTGCCCATTGAGCAACCAGACCCGCACTGCATCCCAGGAACCACTCTTCTGGCCGAAAATGGGTCCATCAGTATAGAAAAATTTAAAAACCCAAGCCAGGTGTTTTGGGGGCCATGCCCATAATCCTAGCACTCAGGAGGCTGAGGCAGGAGGATTACTACAAGTTTGAAACCAGCCTGGGCTCCATAGTGAGTTCAAGGCCAGCATGAGTTACATGGTGAGACCCTGTCTCCAAAAAAAAAACACCCCAAAAAACAAAACTCAAGGGCTGGGGATTTAGCTCAGTGGTTTCATCGCCTGCTGTGCAAGCACAAGGACCCAAGTTTGATCCCCGGTACCCAAAAAACCTGAAAAAACAAAAAACCCCTCAAAACCCCAAGAAATTGCAGAGGATAAACTGTAAGGGAGTTATTTCATGTGTAAAAGGTTTAAACAATAAACCACACTTATTATTTCAATCCTAATTTACCACAAGAAAAGAAAAAGAAAAGAGGATCTTTTTTCTTGACACTAGAGGATCAAACCCAGGGTTGCTCTGCCTCTGAGCTACAACCACGGCCCTTTTATTTAATTTTATTTATTTTTGGTTTTTTGAGACAGGGTCTCACTGTGTAGCCCAGGCTGGCCTCGAACGCACGGTGACCCCCCCCGGCTCAGCCTCCTGAGTGCTGGGATTACAGGCCTGCGCCACCACGCACGTTCAAGAAGATTCTGGACTTGTGATCTTCCTGCCTCAGCCTCCTTAAGTGCTGAAATTGCAAACAGGCACCATCGTGCCTGAGGAAAAAAATTTCACGTAGCTTTTCTGAGCTGTATTTTCCAGCGTCCCCACTGACACCCTGTCTGGTCGCATCGCCCCCCAAAAACACGCCACCAGGCGCAGCTGAATGAGGCGCCATCTGCCTGTCTGTCCGGGGTGGGACGGAGGTCACCGGGGGCGCGGAGCAGGCCAGGCTCCTCCCGTTCCGCTTGGCTCGCTCGGGGCGTGGCGGGGCAGGCGGAAGTCACACTCACCAGGACGGCCACCTGCACCACCTCGGGCTGCCGGAGAAACTGCGGGTCCACGGCGGGCCAGGCCTGCAGCAGCACGCCGGCGTCCCAGGCGTAGTGGGCGCAGAGCTTGCGGGGCACCAGCGCCAGGCCTGCAACGCCAAGGCACCGGGTCGGTCACGAGCTTGCGCGGGGGTCCCCGTGCCCACCACGCCGTGGAAGGCACAGAGCCGGTCTCGGGCAGCGAGCGGGGCCCCCGGAGCTGCAGCAGCGCCCGGCATCTCCCAGCCTGGCGAATGGGTCTCGCGAGCACCGACCCCGCGCGTCTGGGGCTCCACGGGCCAGGACGCGTCCTCGGGGGCAGCTGTACCCTGCGTCGGGCTGGGCCCCAACTGGAGCGCACCCCGTCTTTGCTTTCACTGTGGTGCTGGGGGTCAAACCTCAGGCACGCTAAGCACCTCCAGCCCCTTTTGAAAAAGCCCTCCTGTAGGTTTTTCTACAAGAAACATTTACCACTCTTTAGCTCTTTTTTTCTTCAGTGCTGGCGATTGAACCCTGGGGCTCATACATGCTAGGCAAGCATCTCCCACGGAGCTGCACCCCCAGCCCTCTTGTAATTTGAAAAGATATTTAAAAATAACCTTTTTCCAGGGCCAGGATTTAGCTCAGTGGTGCAGCCGCCTGCCTCGCAAGCGCAAGGTCTGGAGTTCGATCCCTGGTACCAAAAAACCCCCCAAACAAACAACCTAAAATAATTATACATGCATAGGAAGTTGCAGAGAAATGTTAAGGCAGCCCCGCACAAGGTGTAATTACAGCACAGTCGCGAAACTGGGACACTGGCATCTCAGCCCAGGCCTCACCAGCTTTCTGAGAACCACTCACGTGCCAGCTCCAGTAGCAGCTTAGTGCAACCTGTGCAGCTCCACACAACCACCGCTGGGCGCCGCAGCTCCGCCACAGCCCCGAATGGCCCACACCTGGGTGGCTTCCAGGTCTACACTGCAGTCCGCCCCCCCCCCCCCGCAACCCCCGCCTTGGGGCTTGAACCTGGGCCTTCCTCGCCTTCTGCACTGAGCCCCACCCAGCTTCTGGCTTTCTGCTCTTTACCGTCTGCAGAGGACAGAAGCCTGGAGCCGGTCATCTGGACACCAGACTGGGGACTCCTAATGCTATGGCTTCCCAGTAGGACACACCCCACCTTCACAGCGGTCCTGCTTCTCAGGTCCAGAGCGCCAGGAAGGAGCAGACGTCCTCCCCCTCCCCCTGCCCAAGGGCGCAGGCCACCAAGGCCTTGCTTGCTCTGCTTCTGACCCCAGTGACTGGCCAAGCGCCCTGGACACCTCTGAAAGTCCCCTCCCGTCCAGGGCGGGGAGGGTCCGTCACCTCCACCCTGGGGGAGAGCTCTGTGTTCTGTCCCTCCTGGAATGAACACCGGATGCGGATGCTGCGCTCTCCCATGCCATGCTGAGGTTCTTTCTCTAAGGTGCAGCAGAGGCCAAGGCTGTGTTCGAGGAGGGGTCTTCCAGAGTGCAGGAAATGTTCAGAAAAGCTCCCGGCATGAGGACAAGGGGCGTGCACACTGACAGTGACAGTGACAGTGACAATTCCCCTCGCTCCTGTCTGCACAGGACCTGCCACTTCCTTTTCTTTCTGACACTGGGGATTGAACCTGGGGTCTTTCCACTGAGTTATAGCCACAGCCCTTTTGTAGTTTTTATTTGGAGACAGGGTCTTGCTAAATTGCCCAGGCTGGGCTTGAACTTGCAATCCTCCTGCTTCAGCCTCCCAGAGTGCTGGGATTAAGTAAGGTGCGCCATGGAGCTTGTCAGGACTTTTCATGTAGTATGACCTTGGGCAGGGCTGGAGGGGTCACCTCCCGCTCTCTCTGGGGACCTGGGGCTCATCAGCACCTGGGAGTAATGGCCTGGACTCCCCAACATGCCATGCCCACAGCTGCCCACTGAGAAAGGACACAGAGGCAGCGTGGTCAGTCCCAGGTTCCTAGAACTAACTGGACCGTGGTCCTGTGGCCTGGTGACGCCTTGGGGAGAGCTTGGTGGAGACCAGCACAGGCCGGCCACCGCCTGGCTCTCCCGCCGCACCTCAGTTCAGCTCACTGGACATGGGAGGAAAGCTCCAACCCCACACACTGCCTCCCCATCTGGGACAGCAGGGGCGACACGCAAACCCCGAAGCGCTCCACGTCTTCTGACTGAATGAGGGAAATTCGAGCCGGGAAGACAGATGGAAATAAGAGGAAACAAAATGGAAAGAAGAGGAAAAGTGTAGCCGATGGAATCAGAGGGAGAAGCTGCATTTTATAATCAAAGCCCAAGCTTCTTTCTTATCTTGGCCGTACTGGTAATTTATAAGCAAACAAGAAAACACGACCTCTAGATAAAAATGGGAATAAAAGCAAAATCATCAGTACAAAGAAACGAACTCCAGCACGGCGTGGCTGAGTCTTAAAAGCAGCAAACTGAAGGGGAGAAGCGAGGCAGAAAGGACGGTGCATGGAGGAAAAGGCCAAGCTCGGGATGGAGAGCAGCTTGGTGGGCCAAGGTGGACGGGAAACCGCGGGAAACAGGGTGCTGCACAATCGATCTGCAGTGGCTGTGGCAGCACATAGATCCACCCTGAGCTGAGCCGGGGTGTGGGGGCCACGGACTGGGCTCCCTGTTCCTGCCCCTGGGGTGGAAACGCTGCCCCTGGCTTCCTGTGGATGGGCACTGCCGTGCAGTGCAGAGGGGACACTGGGGAAGGCACAAGGAGCCCAGGCGTTGCCACCTCCTGCAGGACCGTGATGCAAGTGCCCGGGAGAGGGCAGTGCTCTGTTTCCAGTGGCTCCCTGAGGTCAACAGGGCCCCGTCTTCTCAAGCAGAAGCAGCAGATAGGACCAAGGGACCAACACAGATTCTAGCACGACTTCCCCTGCTCCTCCCGTCAGGCCCGGGGAGTGGGAATCCCACACTGTTCAGGTCCTCCACCCCAGCCATACACCACGGCTCCGGTCTCCTCTCCTTGGGCAGCCTGACATCCTTCACTCACACCTCGTGCTTTTGCAGGGCGGGGACTGAACCCAGGGCCTCACACGTGCCAGGGCGCAACAGCGCACTTCATCAGGAGAGGTCTTCTGTGCAAACGCAACGCCCAATCAAAGCAGCTCCCAGGAACCTTTTCAGGAATTCCTCGCAGTGTCAGGTGTGACCTTTAGTGGCTCAGGGCTGTGTCTGACCCGCCTGCCCCTGAGCGCTTGGCCCAGGCCCAGCTGGGGATTTATGTGAAGCCCCGACTCTGGGCCGACGGTTCCATGGTGTGGCGAGGTTCCAGGGACCTGGCTGAGAACTGGCCGCGTTACTTAAGTGGGAGAAGCACGGCCCTCGGTGAGAGGACGGAGTGAGGATGAAGGAGCGACCTTTCCCTGCCTGGGCACGTGAGTCGGGACTCGGAGTCCGGCACAGGGCTGGAGTGGGTGTCCCTCCCCGTGGCAGGGGTGACCATGTGGCAGGAGCCCTGTGCTTCAGAGCGAGGACCCAGGCTAAGCCGGAGTCACGTCGGGAAGACGCCCGGCCCACAGCCCCCCGTACCTGCCCAGAGCTCCGAGGTCAGGTGCGGGGCCATCGGCGCGGCCATCACAATCAGGGCACAGAGTGCGTCCTCGAACTCGGCACTGTGGAGAATGACCCGCTGAGAGGCTTGCTGGGGACACAAGAGCACAGGTGTGCACAGGTGAGCGAGGCCACCCCGACCCGGAGTCCTCGCCACCCCGGTGCAATCACAGCGTCACAGCAGCCGGGCAGCAGCACACACCACTGACCGGAGGACCTGCGTGGTCCCGCTGGCAGGCACTCCTGCAGCTCCCGCAGCTCCCCGAGGCCAGGAGGACACCGCTGGGTGGGGGAGCTGTGGTCGGCAAGGGCTAGTGCCCCAAGCACACAGAAGTCACCCTTGGGCTTCGGGCCTGGCTTCCTGGTGCCGAGTGCATGGCCTGCTCAGAGCCCCCAGACGCCCCACTCTCTCGCAGCTCGGCCAGGGCCCCAAGGGCTGTGGCTGTGCACACGATGCGGGCTGCTTCCCCATTGTGGCAGGAGCGCATTTGGAGTCTGGGCCTCTGTGACCGTAAGGCGTGCGCAGTGGATGCCGGCCATGAACAGTGCAGGCCGGGGGTCCGTCTTTTCCACTCCACTGACCGTGTTTGGGTCAGGGGCTCCCATATTAATATGTAAGAGCATCCATACCTCAGGTAGGAATCTTTTGGCTACATATCTGTTATAAATGTTCTCTACAGCTTTTATCTGTCTTTTACCATGGGCCATTTTAATTCGGGGCCTCTACCGTAACTGCTCGAGGCTGCCAGCCCCCTTCACGAAGCTAATTCTGCCTGCTGACAGATTCTCCCTTTGTCTAGTAAAACGCGAGTCCCATGCTGCGGGACAGAGCGGCCCTGAAAGGCCTGGTTTCCGTTTTCAGTGAGAGTAACTCTGACTCCTCTGGATTAAATAAGCGTAAACTGCCAGGTGGTACAGAGAGGAAGGAAGAGCTGAAAAGAGAGGCCGGTGCCCGGACCTGGGTTTGCCCTGACCCAGCGGGCCCGTCCAGCTCCCTGGGCCTCCAGGTCACCCCGGCTCTGGGCAGCAGGGCTCGGATCAGGGAACCTGAGGATGCTTCCGGCCACAGGCAGGCTGTGAAGATGACAGAGACGTGCTGAGGAGGTGACACTGCAGCACCATGCAGGCCACTTCTCCACTCCTCGCCACCCCCTGCCACCAGCAAATGGAGATGACGGCCACTCACCGAGAGGGCATTGCTGAGGCCTATGAGCTGAGCGATCGCAGAGTTCAGGGAGAAGTCCTTGGTGAAATGGGCGGTCACCTGACAGGAGGAGAGGAATTACTCACTTTCTTCAAAATTCCTTTAAATTCTCCAGAAAAAGAATTCTGAAAAAGGCTGAAATAAGCCAGGCATGGTAGCACATGCCTGTAATCCCAGCTCCTGGGAGGCTGGAGCATTGCTGTGAGTTCGAGGCCAGCCCGGGCTCCACGGGGAGTTCAAGCCCAGCCTGAACTACAGAGCAAGACTGTCTCAAAAAAAAGCTGAGATTAAATGAGTGCAATCAAAGGTGTTTATAAGATAAGGTTTGCTACCTCAGACAACCACTGCTTCATCACTCCAGGTCAAGGCTGTTTGGCTAGCGGGGGCTGCCCTTCCTAGCACACCCAGTGTGGGTGTAGGAAACACTGCAGCCCCTTGGTAGGAGCCGGCCACTGTGAGCGAGCATCAGGACTTTCTCCTCGGTTAATGCCTTGGATAGGTTAGAGCAGGGGACACTACAGCCACCTTGGGGACCCCAGGGGGACTCGTCAGCCTTTTGACGCCTGCGTGCTTCTCGGGCCTGACCACGGCAGAGCACAGAGAAATAACTTGTGTTTGGGTTTACAGCCTGCTGAAATAACCCGAATCCATCAGCCCACAGAACGGAGGGACATGCCAGAAGCAGGGAGAAGATGAAACATGCGGCCTGCAGCCAGCTGCCAGGGGTCACGAGGTCACCACCCCAGCTGGGTGAGCGCGGCCCCTCACGCGGGTGGACTGGGGGGGGAGCAGCGCCCTGCAGGGGTTGGCAGGCGGCTCTCAGGGAGCCCAGCCCAGCCAGGGCCCCGGCAGTGTGGCTGACCGTGGCTGGCCGAGCTGTCTCGCTGCGGGAGGGAGCCAGGAGTGGCTGGCCAGCCTGGCCCGCCCGAAGCCTGACCTGGGCGATGACGGCATTCTTGTACTCCCACAGCCTCCTGGCCTCCGCCTTCTCCTCGGCCTGCAGCAGTGCGGGCTGCGCGTCCATCCCAGAAGCCCTGGCCTCGATGAACTGGGTCACCAGGGACCACAGGCGCTGCTGCCACCTCAGCACCCCCGGGAGGGCGTCGGCTGGGTGGGGAGGAGGGAGACAGGTGTGAGGGCGACGGGCCGTGACCTGGGGAGACACCGACTGCGCCCGCACTCCGGCCCCAGCAGTGCCCACTGCCCGCCAGCCGTCCCGGCCCAGGGAGGGGAGGAGCAGTAGGATGGGCGGCAGCTGTGACTGGGAGCCTGAGCCAGAGTGCTGGGGGGCACAGCGCCTGGCACGGCGGGCCCTGGAGACGCACGGCTGGGATGGTGACAGCAGGCAGAGGCCTGCAGACTGCTCTCAGCAGCAGCGCCGGGACAATGTGACATCCTCTCAGAGAATGCGTCCTGCCGTGTGTGCGCATATGTGTGGCACTGGGGACTGAATCTGGGCCTTCACACGGAGCTACATCCCCAGGCCTTTAGTATTTTTAAATTTTGAGGCAGTGACTCATTAAGTCACTAAGTGGCTGAGGCTGGGCTCGGCCTTGTAACCCTCCTGCCTCAGCCCCCCCCAGTGCTGGCATTGTAGGCCCGCGCCACCACGCCTGGCTGCCTCTCTTGGAGCCCCGTGGTCCTGACGTGCTGTCTGTGTCCACACTCCAGCACACGGAGCCAGGCTGAAATGGCTGGCAGTGATCCCCGCAGCACGCACTGCTCAGGGCTCTCGAGGCCGGACACGGCTCCCCTCGCCCACATACGCTGCTGGCCGAGGGCCCAGCACAGCCCGATGCCCAGCACGACCCAGCGTCTCACCCTTGACGGCCACATGATTTCAGGGACAGAGCCCGGGAGAGGCAGGGAGGCTCCCAGGTGGCCAGGGTCACAGGGACCGCAGGCCCGGGCCCAGGGTTTTCTGCCCGGGAGGGGGCCGACCTCTTAGCGCAGGTGCGAGAGGGCCGGCCGCCAGGACCAGCCAGGGCGGCTGGGGGACACAAAGCCTCTGTCCCCAGGCCCCCTGTGTCCCAGAACTGGCACTGAGCACCAGAGCCTGCGCCAGGCAGATGCCTGGCCCGAGGACTGGGATCTGCGTTTGTGACAAGTTCCCCACAGACCTCGAGGCAACCGTCCTGGGGACCCGGTCCAGCAGGGGCACAGGCCGGGCAGGTCGGGCCTGCTGGAGGGAACCAGAACTGGAATGAACGGAACCGCGTGGGGCCAGGGCAGGTGGAGGAGGCGGGCGGAGGCGGCTCACTCTTCACGTCCCACAGTAGGTCCTTCTCGGGCGGGGCGGCGAAGAGGAGGAAGAGCCGAGTCGAGTCCACGCCGTACTGGGCCACCATGTCCGCGGGGTCCACGCCGTTGTGCTTGGACTTGCTCATCTTCTCCCACGTCACCACCAGGGGGGCCCGCGTCTCCGTGTGAACCGGGACAGGACCTACGCCGAAGCCGAAGCGGAAGGCAGTCTGAGAGGGCCCTCCAGGCGGAGCCCAGGGGACGATCTAGGGGAGCCGGGCGAGGTGGCGCATGCACGCCTGTAACCCAGCACTCGGGAGGCTGAGGCAGGAGGATCGCCACAAGTTCAAGGCCAGCCTGGGCTGTAGGCGGCAGCTGGGCCCAGCCGGTCTCAAGCACAGTGCCTGGGGGGGCCCCCGTGCCTCGGCGTCCTCTGCCCTGTCATGTCACCCTGGAAAGGTCACGGGCACGCGGGGACGCGGGGATTCGGCTGCAGAGGACCTGACCCACGCCCTTGGGGCCCGAGCCTCTCGGGAACTGATGTTCCGGGTGCTGGCCCATGAGCTCCCAAGGCCACTTCACACAGGGAAACTGAGGCAGGGCAGGACCCGGGTCCGGCAGAGGCCAGAGCCACCTGTGTGTTGTGGCTGCTCAGGTGCCTGGTTGGGTGCCCCCCTCGGGCCTTTCTGCTCCAGCTTCTGCCCAAGCTCCCCAGGGATCGGCGCTGTCCCAGCAACCTCGAGCTGGCCGGTCACAGTCCGTCCCAGTGCTCAAGACCCCATGGGAAGGGACATCCTCGGGTCGCAGGGAGATGGGCGTCCGGGAAAAGCCTAACCAGGTGCGGATCTCGGGGAGCCACTCCCCAGCCTGGCCGGGGTCTATCCTGTATAGCAGTGTTGTGCACACTGGGAAAAAGTATCTCTCTGGGCAGAGAAGCTGAGAAGCTAGAACAAGATGGTTTCTTTTGGCAGATGTGCCCCGAAGTGCGCAGTTTGGCAAGTGTCTGAATTTCCTTTAGCTGGATGCCTTTGTGCAGTGCACAAGCCGAACAGCTATCTATGGGCAACCTAGCCAATCACACAGGGAACACTTCCTTCAGAGCTGAGATTTATGTGGCCCTAGACTGGCTCCTTTCCTCACTGGTCCGTGGTAGAGGGACACCAGCCATTTCATTTCTCCAGCTTCTTTCTTCCCAGAGGAGCAGCCAGGTCCAGGGGCAGGCTGCCCAGGCCAGGCCCTGGCAAACTGAGGGGTGGGGGTCTGCACCCGGCCCTCTCACCTGTGAGGTCCACCTGCTCTCGGGGCAGGTACTGTCCGGACGGCAGGCGGAACGTCTGTCCCTTGATGAGGCCCTGTGGCAGCAGCTTGTGGAAGGGCTCCCTGAGGAAGAGAGGGAGAGACTGACGTGCGGGCTCAGAGCGGGGGCCCCGGGAGGGCAGAGCAGGCGGCTTCTGTGCTGTGACGCTCAGCGCCGCCTCCCGGCGCCCCAGCCACTTGCCCTGGGCTGTTTGCCAGTCCGTAAAATGGGCGCAAGTACAGCTGGCCGAGAGCCCCGGGAGGGACACGGGGGTCAGAGCTGCACACAGGCTGCTGCCTCCTCCTCATCCCACCGAGCGCCTGAGGGATGGTGCCCCACCCAGCCCAGCCCTCAGGAGCGGGCCTGCTCCCAGGTTGGCGCAGTGCTGGGTCTGCACCCAGGAAGAGGCGGGGTCTTGGCTCAGACAGGCGGGTCCTAGGGCCTGGCTCTCCCTAACAGCTGTGGACCCACTGCATGCTTAGGATGCGACCTGGTGTTCTCCAGCATGAGCGAACTGTAACTCATCTCTGGCACAGTGAGATCTGAACATCTGCGGTAAGGACAGGTACGGGCTGCTCTTCACAGCAGAATCACTGCATCTGGGAGTCGGGAAGATCTGCAGTGGTCCCGCTGCCCTCCCAAGGCCCGGCCACTGTTCCCGCACAGCTGCGGCCTCCTTGGCCAGCGGAATCCGCACCCCACACCACGGCCAGGCCTGGTCCCTCCCCCAGAGCAGAGCCCGAGGGTCAGGGCCGGGTATGGCCGTGGCTGCACTGGTTACACCTCGGCCAGCAGGAGCCACAAATAGAAAAGTGCCTGCCTTGCCCTGCCCGCCCAGCCGCACTGGGGAGGTGGAGGTGGGCGCAGCAGGCGGCTCAGCCTGCAGACAGCTCTCGGCACCGATGCCCCTTCCCTGCTGCGAGGCTCCCTGGTCACGGTCACATCGGAGAAACCCAGCGGGGGCACATGCTCAATCCCCAGCACCAAAACCTCCCCTAGACACAACAACGAAGACACCTTGGGACAGGAGGAAAGGCATGGTCTGGAGCCAAGGGTGGAGAGGAGAAGGAGGAGGAAGAGGAGGATGAAAAGCAGCAGCCTGAGACCCCAGGGCTGGGAGGGTCCAGAACCCTAGGAGCCTGCATTTGCCTGGCCCACCACTGCCCCTCTGGGAGTGCATAGGATTGCAACCGCCAGAATCAGACCTAACCCAGCCGACTTGAAGGCTGCACTCCTCCAGCTCCATCTTTCAAACTCTCCAGGAGGATGAGGCAGGAGGGTTGTCACGAGTTTGAGAGCAGCCTGGGCTACACAGTGAGTTTAAGGCCAGCCTGGACCACACAGTGAGACCCTGTCTCAAAACCCTCCCCCCAAATGAGTGTTACGGAAGTAGCACACACAGGAACCTTGCATCTTCTCCAGGTCACAGCACTGCAGGGTCACCCCAGACAGCTCACAGGGGACAGGGCTGCCCTGGGCCTCTCTGCTACCATCCAGACCTCACGGGGCCACAGCGGCACTTCCTGCTCCCCCAGACCATGCTCAGAACTCTGGGTGCCCCAGCACCAGACGCAGTGGTCACGTGGAGCGTGTTGTTGCTTCCCACAGCATCAGGTGAGTCCCTGCTGCATGCCTGGTGCTGGGGATCCACACAGGCAGTGTAACCCTGGTCCTCAGGAGCAGAGCCGCTGCCCAACACCATCAGAGCTGAGCAGGGGGAACAGGGTCCAGTCCCACTCGAAGAGACCCAGCCCCTCAGCTTGGCCACCAGGGACACCACCCTGCCTTTGCATAACTCTGCTCTCTCCAAATGTTGCCTGTTAGGGCAACCAGAGGCCCCCAAAGCTTCATGCATTCGAGGTGGGGCTTGTAGGCAGTGAGTGGGTTGCAGGGATCCCGCGGCTGACTTGGGGTACGGAGGTGGGATCTGGTCAGGAGAGGCAGTGGCTCCTCCCTTTGTGCCGCTGGGCACCATGCCATGAGGCACTCTCCTGGGCCAGACCCTTGCACCATGCCCTTCTCTATAACACCGGCTGGCGACTATGGACTGAACCTGTACAAACTGTGAGCCAAAATAAACCTCTCCTCCTTGAAGTTGTGGGTGTCAGGCACTTTGTCTCAGCATTGCCCATGTATGCCTCTGTGTCCTTATGCTGCTCCCCGAACTGTTATTAAAAGCACCCCTCTAGCCTGGTTATATGCTGGGTGGTGAGCACCTGCCTGGCATGCACGAGGCCCTGGGCTCCATCCTACCACTGTGGAAAACAGAAAACCCCAAGTCTGCCCAAACTCGCCTCAGCCTTCCAAGTTCTGCTGCAGCCACGGGATCTCCCGCTGAGAACTGGCTGCTCTTCCCACTGCTGTGCCCAGTGCATCCCTGTCACTGTGCCCACAGGTATGGTTTAAGTCCACGTGCAGGCAACTGGCAACCTGCTGTCTTCCTCCTCCTGAGAGGAGTAGGAGGGAGAAACTCTCAGCTCAGTGACGAAAGCTGTTTGAACTGAATCAAGCTGGTTTCAAGGGGTGAATAAACCTCCCAGAGGTGAGGACCACATGGAGGGGACAAAGGGACAAAATGTGAACAAGGCAGACGAAGGGGAGGACTTGGGGTGCTATAGTCGGGTGCTACGCAGGGAGGGCCCTCAGGACAGCAGAGGCAGCGGGATTGTCCGTCCTGAGTCCTCCCGGGTTCCAAGTTCCTGGATCCTGCTGGCTCCCCGGGACACCCCATGGGGCTCAGGAATGGGGTGCGCATCTCTGGGTAAACCAGGCCACGTCAACCTTCACAGCCTGCTCTGAATGGGATCACATTGATTCAGTCAAGAGGGACTTGCGTGACAGCCGGAGAGCTTAACACAGACGAGTGCCAGGAGGAGGCGCCGACCGGGAGGCAGAGGTCGAGTCCTGGGAACGAGGGACGGGATGGCCAGAGCCTGCTGGCGCACGGACCCCGCCACCCCTGCACCACGTCCGCCCCTCGGAGCACGGTCCAGTAGCATTTCCGGCTTCCTCCCATGGATGTGGCTACCAGAATCTTTCTCTCTCATTACTGGGGATGGGGCCCAGGGCCTTTGCACCGAGCCGCATCCCAGGCTTGTTAGGTTTGAGACAGATCTTACTAAGCTGCTAAATTGCCCAGGCTGGGCTTGAACTTGTGATCCTCCTGCCCCGGCCTCCCAGAGTGCTGGGATTACAGGGGTGTGACACCACGGTCCGGACTCTGGGCCAAGCAGAGGCACCGCTGAAGTGGGAGAGCTGTGGTCTCAAGCCCCACTTCAGATGCCGATGGGATCCCAGGCCACGGAAACAGACTCGAAAACTCTGATTTACACAGGTTTCAGGAACACTCATGCGGCCGATGGGTCTTGAGTTTTCCTCCCAGCCATCTGAGCCTCTCGGAAATCCCACCGGGAGGGCTCCGAATCACTCACCACAGAAAGCGGGTGGTTTCAGCACGCTGTTCGACTGCTTCCCCAAGGCGCCTGCACAAGGCCGGCGCTCCGGGGGCTTCTGGGGCTGCTGTTGCCCTGGCCCTGACATGACTCACTGAGGGCACGGAGGATGTTACTCACCGGAGGGGACAGAGGAGGCCCCTGCACCTGTGCGGAGTGCTGGGGAGCACTCGGAGCAAATCTCTCAGGGGAAGAGGAGCACGGGACAGAATCCACCAGCTTGAAAAGGATTTAAAAACCCAAAATAAACAGGTGTGGTGGTGCACACATGGGAAGGCTGAGGCAGGAGGATCACCCCAAATTCAAGGCCAGCCTGGGCTGCACAGGAAGCTCAAGAGCAGCCTGGACTACATAGCTAGATCCTGTCTTTAGATGAACAGAACACAAGCCCTGATGACTGTACAGGCCCTTTCAATGCACTCCATGTAGCTGTTCCGGAACTTCACGGTCATGCCAATTCCAGGCGCACCTGCAGATTCTGTCCGAATGGAAGCAAAATCACACCTGAAACTGTATTTCAAAGTTGGTGCAAATGCTCCAAATTTCCCTCCGCAAATACAGTTTTAAGCCATTAGAAACAAGACATAAAAACAGCCAGGCCCTGTCCTATAGGGTAGCTGGCCATTCTTTAATTGGTTGATCACTTCTACAAATAATTATTCAGAAAGTGAGAGATATATGCCCTGTTGCTAAGGAGCCAAAACATGGTCTTGTTCTTCTATGTTTGAGAAGTAAACACTGCTCACATGGCAGGGGGTCTGTAATCTTAAACTCTACCCAATTCTCACCTTCCCGAGGAGGACATTTCTTTCCAAGAATAGAGGCTTTTATCTGTTTATGTGAAGAGATTAAACTCCATTTATTTAAACAAATGTTCACTAAGAATATATGATGTGCCGGGCATGATGGCACGGGCCTGTAATCCCAGTACTCGGGAGGCTGAGGCAGGAGGATAGCCATGAATTTGAGCTGGGCTACACAGTGAGTTCAAGGCCAGCCTTGAAACAACCCCCCCCCAAAAAAACAGAGTCCATGACATCCACAAGACTGTGACAGTATCAGGACATGGTCCTGAGGACAATCTAAAACCAGGTAAGAAATGTGACACAGGTCTGTGAGTCCCAGGCCCTGAAGCTCAGACATTAGCCCTGCAGCGGTGCCTCAAAGGTGTTTCGCGTCCTTCTCATGCAGCTCAGTTTATTTTTACACACCAAGATCTCTGAGACGAATGGGAAGAAAATTAGTTTAATTATCATCTAGCTTTTTGTTGTTGTTGTTTTGGTACTGGGGATTGAACTCGGGTCCTTGTGCTTGCACAGGAGGCAGCGAAACCATTGAGCTAAATCCCCAGCCCAATTTAAGCATTTAATTTACCTCCTAAATTAGTTTTCTCTACAGTAGACTTTTTTTAATCCACTTGCTGGGCACAGAGTCGGGGAGCTGCTCCGAGGGCTGCAATGTGCTTCATCTAAATGAGGCCAGGTCCCCGAGTTACAGAGGGCTTGAAAGCCCTGTGGTTTTTGTTGTTTTCTTCAGTACCAAGACTCAAATTCAGGGCCTTGTGTTTGCCAGGCAGGTGCTGTGCCGCTGAGCTACATCCCCAGCCCAACCTCTGTGCTTTTTACCTGTCGAAATTTTAAACACATACATTCCTTACCCAGGAGTCCCACTGTTAGGACCTGACCTGCAGATGGGATCCCAAATACTTGCGAAGATCACAGATAAAGAGGGTCAGTGGACTTTTAAAAAAATAATAATACCTGGAAAAACAGGTGACTACTTAAATTATGGTATACGATTCATAAATTTAAAAGAACGACAGATTTGTATGTGTTGATTTGGAAAGACCACTGAGCTATACTATTAAATCAAAAGAGCAAAAGACATATATGCAATACATGTAACATTTAAAATGAGTATATTAATAAAATGCACATGTGGAGAAATGCAAAATATCTTTTGTGGAAGAAATCAGAAGACCCTTAAAAGATGAGGATAGAGGGCCAGGGATTTAGCTCAGTGGTTCTGCCGCCTGCCTTGCAAGCGCAAGGTCCCGAGTTTGATCCCCAGTACCAAAAAAAAAGATGAGGAAAGGGATGGAGGGTGAATGCAGGGAGGGAGAGATGTCAAATTCACTTCCTCTGCAGGTAAATTTTTTCATTTTAACATTTATTATTTGGGGTCTCATTATGCTGCTGGCCTTGAACTATTGATCCTCCTGCCTCAGCCTCCCGAGTAGCTGGGATCACAGGCCTGTGCTACCACACCTGGCTTACTCTGTGCTGCTGCTGTTGAAGACTCTTGAGTATGGCAGGAAGCACCAGTGTGAAGGAAACTAGAGAGAAAGCCACAGTTTAGTACAGAAAAGCAAGGAGCTGACCTTTGACAACCATGGAAATCGAAGGCAGGAGAAGGAAAACATCCCTCTGACAGGCTGAGGCCAGGGCCCTCGCGTGGGCCTGGCACCGAGTCTGAGCTACCTGCACAGTTTAGAAAACCTCAGGGAGACTGTCGTCTCATTCCAAGTGCCCTTGAAATCATCTCTAGCCGAAGTGCTGAAGAAATCCCGTGAATAAAGACTCAAGGCAGAGCCAGCGCACAGTTAGAAATCACCAGAAGCACAAGTGGTGGTGCACACCTATAATCCCAGCACCCTGGGGAGCTGCAGCAGGGGGATTGCAAGTTCGAACCCAGCCTGGAAACTTAGCAAGACTGTGTCTCAAAATAAAAATATCTTATATATATCTTTTTTTTTTTTTTTGGTACCGGGGATCGAACTTGGGTCCTTGCACTTGCGAGGCAGGCAGTGGAACCACTGAGCTAAATCCCCGGCCCTTATATATATCTTTAATACATATGATGTATTTCATGGGAAAGAGCATATACTTTTGCTTTTTTATATTATGAAGAACAGACCATAGGCCAAGAGGAAAGGAATTTACCAGTGGGTATACAATGTGATTCTCTACCTTCTAATTCACTGTGTCCATCTATCAGAGTGGTCCACTAAGGAAGGAGTCAGTCAAGCATAGAAGCAAAGCTTAGGCAGGGGCCAGATGACAAGCATGACCTCACGTGAGATCCTATAAAAATCCACGTATGAGGTGTGATAAAAAATAAGGTGTTTGAATTAAAAAATTATTACATTAAAGACACATTGCCATGAATCCCCCTCAAAGACTCCCTTGCTTTGAACACATTCATCCACCATTCTGGCCACTTTCTGAAGCAGCTCTGGAGCATTCTTTCATGAAGGTCTTCAGCTATGCTGTCCTGGCTGCCTGCATGTCTTGAATGGATTCAAAAACATTTCCCTTTGATGCTCATTTTGACTTTGGGGAGGAGCAAGAAGTCAGTGGGTGCCCAATCTGGTGAAAAGGTGGATGAAGACACAGCGTTGTGTTTTATTGAGCTGCCTTTCCGTTGGATGGCGTTCAGCAGCAGCCTTCACCATATTTTTGATCACGCCTTATAAAGATGCTCCGGAAAAAGGGCCCCAGAGCTGCTTCAGAAAGTGGCAAGGACATGTGAGGACAGATGAATGTCTTTTACTTTTGCCTATTTATTTATTTATTTATTTATGGTACCAGGGATCAAACTCAGGACCTTCCGCTTGTGAGGCAGGTGCGGCTCCACTGAGCTACATCCCCGGCCCTGCTTATTTACTTTTTGTTTTTGTTTTTTGGGGGTTTTTTTGGTACCAGGGATTGAACTCAGGTCCTTGCGCTTGTGCACCAGGCAGCGAAACCACTGAGCTAAATCCCCGGCCCCTGCCTATTTATTTTTAATTTAAATATTTATCATAGTTTTTCATCACCCCTTGCAATGTCACAGACTACTCCTCTGCCTCACAAGTAAAACTCTGAAGCTACCAACCTCAGCTACACAGAGAAGCCCTGAAGGCTGGACTCTGCTTGGTGCACAGAATCACATTCCAGAACCAGTTGCACAATGTGGATGAATGCACCTCAGACTGCTGAGGCTGACAAGGACCTCCAAAGTACTGGAAAAACAGAATCCCTCTGTGACGTATATTTACCTTGCTTAAGGCCACCACTGCTGAACTTAATTCTTTTGCAGACTTAATTATTTTCTTAAATTCTTTTTGCAAAGTATAAACGCTCACCTGTGTTTGACCATTTTTTGGTCATGGCAAAAATGACTGAAGAATCTTGCATAGAACAAGTGCATGACAGCATGTTCTTTCCCACCGATGTACAAATCCACAGGCATCCAGAAGTCTGCCAGTGTGGTGTCAAAAGGGCTGGAAGAAAGAGAAATGGGTGTTTTAAAAACTACTCTGCCGGGCCGGGGATTTAGCTCAGTGGTGCCACTGCCACCTGCCTTGGAAGCTCAAGGTCCTGAGTTCGATCCCCGGTACCAAAATAAATAAATAAAAAAAATAAAAACTCCTCTGCCACAGCTGCAAAGTCAGGCAGACTACTGTAATCTGCATTTGTTCCAAAATGAATTATGTCAGGGAAAGACTGATTTTCATTTAAGAATATATTAAAAGAAAAGCTTATGTAATAAAGGAGAAAGAAGTCAGACCAGTGTTAATTTATGAAACTTGCATAAATGGCTACAGAAGACATAGCTGACATATTTTAATAAGTGAAATTTCCATATACAATGAGAACAAGAGAAAAACTCACTAGCGAAAAGGTATCTCTGTGTGAAGCATATTTGAAGGTTCAGATGTATTTCAATTTTCCTTACGATGATGTCTGAGTTCTTACCAATAGAGGGCAATGTGCCACTCAGAACAGAGACTAATGAGCAGATGCTAAAATTCATTTTTCTTTTTTGGTACCGGGGCTCGAACTTGGGTCCTTGCGCTTTCCAGGCAGGCGGCGAAACCACTGAGCATTCATTTTAAAACAAATTCAATTTTATATTTCAAAGTAGCTTTAAAATAGTCACCAAGAGCCTGTAGACATGGTTCACGGGATGCAAGGAAGCATATTGAGGGTATAACTGTCGTAGAACAGCCCAATAACTCATCTACTGGTACCTCTCGGCTAACGCAGGTGCTAAAAGGCAGGCTTCCTCTGACTCCTGGGCCTAAGCAAGGAGGGGCGGAAGCTCCACTCCCCTGGCTTCCGGCTGGGCGGGAGGCGCCCTCCACTCCCAAGGCCATCCTCGTCCTCATACAGCTCAGTCAGCCCTTGCCCTGGGAGGTTGGTAGTGCAGACTCTGAATCCCCCCAGGCACCTGTCCCAGGGCCCGGGGCTGGTGGCAGCTCTGCCCTCAGCAGGTGAGGAAGCCCAGCCCTCATCCGGCTGGAGCCGGGCCTCTCTCCTCCAGTTACTATGCCAACATTCTTGCAAATTTAAAAAATAATTTCTTCTCTTTGTGAAAAATGGTTCCCTAAAGAAATGCACCTGCAGACTCAGGCACAGGAAGGAAGTGAAGGAACAGGTCTGGGATAAATTAAGGGGGGAAACGACGCTAGCGCGAGCAGGGACAACACAGGGGCTCCCAGCCGACTGCGGTTCTGTGGCGCCACCAGTGGCGGCTGCGGTCCCGGACGGCCCGGAGGGCGGGGAGGAGCCGGCGCCAGAGCCTGCCCTCCCTGACCGATCCGACCCTGGAGCACCGCGCCCCGCCCCTGCGGAAGGGAGGCCTGGTGGGGGGGACTCCGCGCTCTCCCGGTAGCCTTTGTGCCTGCGCAGGGGACCACTGACTCCAGTTCAAATCACGGGATGGTCAGGGTTCCGCAGGGAGGGAGGGCGGGAGCGCCTCTCTCACCACAGAAGCAAGGTTTACAGCCGTGTAGAACCAGGGAGTGGTCTGTCAGCGCACCGCGGGTTCCAAAGCATTCCCACGTGGACAGACAAGAGCCACCCTGCCGGGCCCTTTTGCGCTCTCCTTCCAATGGTGTTTTTGCTGTCTTTTGTGGTCAGAGAAACACACACACACATCCACAACATCAAATCGTACTTGAAAGGTTTGCCACAAAAACCAGGGGTCTTCAGCCCCAGCATTCCCCTCCCCTAGAGCTGTCCCGTACCCACTTTTGATTCTTCAGCTGTTTCTTCAGCCAGTGTTTAAAAGCTATGTCCGGATTCTTCATGGATTCACCACCTTGGGAGTCATCTACTGACTGTGTGACAGGTGACGCCACTTAGCTCTCCCCACCCTCCTCCACCCTTTCTGGCGTCAGCCCGTTATTTGTGGGTGAGTAAGTAACACGGCTGGACAATAACTGTACAAATGAAGCCCACAGCGGCAACGGAGCGGCAACAGCATTTTCTTCCTTTTCCTGTTTATCTGTCTTCTATGTGGGACTTCCTTGGTGGTGAATAATCTAACTTCATAACTGAGCACGTGCCCTTTAAGAGGCCTGGTTTTCTTTTTCTTTTGTTTTTCTGCTTTGCTTTTGTAGTCCTGGGGCTCGAACCCAGGGCCCCACTCACAGGAGGCCAGAGTCCGCTGCTGGGCTGCACCTGGATCATGACAGCGGTGCTGAGCAGAGCTTCTGACAGCCTGTGCTGCAGCTGCTCCAGGACCCGGGGACCTGGGGGCCATGTGAGCACCCCCCGGCCTGTCTGGAGCCACCCCACTGTCCCTCTGTGTCCTGGCCTGTGGGCCTCTCTCCCTTGTACCCCGCCCAGACACTTCTACTTCCATCTTGGGGCTCGCTCTTGGGGGACCCCAGGTGACACGCACTTGGCGACCTCAGCAGGGTGTTACCTGTGAGGGTTCCGGGGGTCTGTGTACCGGAAGTAGTACCACGCAGAGTCAACAAAGGTGTCCATCGTGTCTGTCTCTCTCCTGGCTGCTCCCTTGCACCTAGGAAATAAACAGTTCATCAATTGGATTCTCTTTAAATTTTAATGCAGTTTCCCACCAGCTTTTTGTTGTTGTTGTTACTGGGAATAGAACTCAGGACCTTGTGCTTTGGAGGCAGGCGACGGAACCACTGAGCTAAATCCTCGCCCCTCCCACCAGCTTTTGAGAGAGCCACGCCAAGTAGGAGTTTTAAATGTCATAAGAACAATGCTGCATCTCGAGGAGGTAATTCAGAGGAGGCTGACGTTTTAAGGAAATCTGCAACATAAAAATTTCGATCTTCTATATTTGAAAGCCTTATTCTTCTACTTCTCTCAGTTTAGCATAGTAGAAAATCTAACCACCCCAAAGGGCAAGACAGGGCTGTCTCTTTTTTTTTTTTTGGTACCGGGGATTGAACTCAGGACCTGTGCTTTCGAGGCAGGCCTGGTGCCACTGAGCTACATTCCCGGCCCAAGGCTGTGTTTTTTGCATGTCTACTTCAGGGATGGCAGGGTTGCCTCCAGCTACTACCAACCTTAGGGTGCTTTTAAGCAAATCAGTGCATGAAGAGAAACTGAAAAGCAAATGCAGTGAGATGTGCTGAAAAATGAACTTGCTTTTCTCTTCTACTGCTCTATGGTGAGAGATGCAGAAATCTGCCTGGATGAGCTCGGAAGACAGAGGACCTCGCAGCTCCGAGGCAGTGGAGCGCTGGAGCCGCTCCGACCAGCTTGCGGGAATCAACTGTTAGCATCGGTCTCAGCTTAGTGACAAGTGATACGGAGTTTATGGCCTGAAATGAGCACTAGTGGGAATGTGAACCAGAGAAACTGGCTAAGATTGTAAACTGGAAGCCCCGCAGGGAGCTGGTTGTTGCTGGTTGTTGCGTATTTCCAAGAGCAGCACTGCCTAAAGGTGGGCTCTTTACAGAGGGTGAAGACAACCTCAGGATTCAAAACCTGTGTGTGAAGGGCTGAAGAGAAAACAAATCCCTGTCTTAAGAGCCACACTGATTCTTAAAATCACACGAAGGGTGTGGGTCCGAACTTGCAGCCCAGAGCCACTCCCCCTGGCAAGGGAGGGGCCCTTAGGCCACGCTCAGGAGGGCTCAGCCCCAGCCCCAGGCCCGAATGGGCAGTGGGCTGCTCCTCCTGTCCGGGGCCGGTCAGCTGTCCCTGGGACCCTCTGCAGCAGTGAGAGGCATGGCAGGGGCACAGGCTGCTCTGCAGGCTCTGCAGTCGGTGGCATGGAAGCAGGGCACCTGCCCCAAGCGCAGAGCTTCGAGCACTGCACATCCTTGGGGCGGGTCCTCCGAGAGCTGGGGAGGAGGACGAGGGAAGGATGGATCTCCTGCTACCTAAACATGCAAGGACTTGAGTCTGATTTTAATTTTAAAACAAAAAAGGGTTATGTTTTCTATCCTGCATTTGTGAAGCACTTCATGGCAGCTTTGCAAATATTACAGAAGGGAAAGCCAACCCCGGCACCCATGCCAGCTGCTTAAATCAAGGGGGCTGAGTGGAGGGCTCACAGCCCCAGGTCCAGTGGGGTTCTGGGACCCCCAGAGCCCACATTTTAATCCAGAGGTTGCCTGCTCAGCCCAGGGCAGCCCTCAGGGGTGCAGCATGTCAACAAAGCCCCTGGAGACCTGGTTTCTACCACCCAGGGCTGCTGAGCTCCACAGTCTACTTCTCTATAAAATCCAGGTCTTTCTATCCGGAGTGCAATCAACCAGCACACAGACACTATTTTGGGAAATAATGAGAAGATAAAGGCAAGTTTCTCTCCTCACCTCACTTGTGCACGGTATCAGCGAGGGAGGAAATGCAGGGCTCTTTTTTATAAAGAAAACACCAGCTTCTGGCTGACACAGCGGCCCCTTTGTAAGGGTCTTGTCGGGCCTGAAGACAGCTCATGTGTCGCTGTGTGGACACCGGAGACTAGATGACAGAAGAGGCCGCAGGTGGCAGGCATGGGTGACAGGGAGGACATGAACAGCATTTGCTCTGATACAGGGAGCAGGCTCAAGTCCAGGAGTTGGAAGCCCGGGGATTGGGAGCTCAGAGCCACTCATGTCCCCAATCTGTATCTCAGAGAGGGTAAGAGACCACCTGAGGTCTTGGAGAATCCACCAGTACAACCAGCATGGAAATCAATATGGAGATTCCTCAGGAAACTAAAATGAGAAATTCCATTCAGCCCAGCTAGTCCCCTTCTCGGTATCTTCCTGAGAGACTTAAAGATGTCATATTACAGTGATCCATGCACACCCAGGTTCACAGCAGCACAGTTCATAATCGCTAAATCTTAGAAGAGGCCTACATGTCCACCAACAGATGAATAAATAAAGAAAATGTGGTATTTATACCACATTTGGAGTACTACTTTGCCATAAAGAAGGACAAATTTGGGCCAGGGATTTAGCTCAGTGGTTTCGCTGCCTGCTGCGCAAGTGCAAGGACCTGAGTTCGATCCTCGGTACCAAAAAAAAAAGGGATAAATTTAAGACAAATTGTAAGAAAATGGATGCTCCTTGAGACCATAATGTTAAAGTGCAATAAATCAGACATGTGAGCTGAAACATAGTATGGTTTCTCTTCTATGAGAAACCCAAAGTATAAATAAAGAGCAAAATAAGATAGGAAGCAGGGGGATGGTGCTCTGGCAAATGGGAGGGACCAAGTAATGGAGACAGGGGAGAGAGGGAAGCGAGGGCTAAGGAGGCAGAAGGATTAAGGCGTGTCATGTACATGCACCAGCCACCCATAAGGAATGTGATCGAGATCATTATGTGGCACAGGCACGGACTACTTAGAAAGTAAGAGTGAAGAACCCACACCCGTCGGTTGGCCTGTGGTGGCTGCAGTCCACACTTCTGTGTCTCCCCATCCTGTGGCACTGGCTTGGTGGCTGCCGGCCCTGGATGCTCCCAACCGCCCGAGCGCTGTCTCTGCCCCTCTCCAAGAAGTCTGCGATCCTCGGAAACCTCCCACCAAGGCTGCACGGCCACCACCCAGCCCCGGCAGGGAAGCCCTCCATCAGTTTATCAACAAAGAGGTGCCGGCCTGCCTGAGCCCACATTTCTGCCCTGGAGTGGCCAGGCTTCCTGAGCTCCAGAACCCTAGGCCACGTAAGTTTCTAAACCACCTGGGAGGCCCTGGGGAGGGCATCGGAGCTCCCACCTCCTGCTGGGAACCACCCCTCGGCCTCTCTGGCTCCTCCAGGGCCGGGGAGGTCGTTCTAGCTCCCAACCAGGGAGCCACAACTCAGGAAAGGCAGCTGACTTCCCCAAGGCCACATGGCTCGCAGAGGCAGAGGCGGCTGGAGTCTGTCACCACCTGATGCCAAGGCCTGAGCTGTTCCATGGCACCCAGCTACCAACCTCATGGCTCAGTTCTGTGCCAGTGGAGGACTCAAGTGTCTGAAACCTACCCCCGGGAGGCACAGGCAGAGCAAAGTGGCTTCCCCACTGGGGGACGGAGGGAAGCCCTGGAGCTGGACGCCTACGGGGTGCTTGTTTCATCGGCTGACACGGCACCCTGAGACTCATGGTGCCCCGAGACTCATGCTGGAGCCATGCCAGGGAACTGACGGGAAGACACAGCCCCAGCCCAAGGTGAGGCAAAGAAACCTGGCCCTTTCCAAAGACCGAGGCTGCAGTGCCTGGCTCGCTCCTGTGCTGCTCTTGTGCGGTCCACCACTGCCATCAAGGGAACCTTGTGGGAAACAGGATGGAAAGGGACAGAAAATGCCCTCTTGCATCTCCCAAGAGCTTCCGGGAATATGAAGTGGGAGATGGTGGGTTTTTACAAATAGGACAAAAGTGTGCAGCGTTTATGCCTTGCAGATTGGATGCTCTGGGAAAGATCTGAAGGGACCCTGTCGCTTCCAAAGGCTTGGGAGGCAGGGAGGGGTCCGAACACTGGGTCCTGGGGACCAGGCCTCTCTCTCAAGGGCCCGAAGGCCTTTGGGAAAAGGAGCACTTGGCACCGAGGGACGAGGAGTTGCAGACGCCTGCAGGGTGCTGGGCCGGGCACGCTCCCGTTGGGGCCGTGGATCCTTACCTCGGGCAGGCGCAGTTCACCCACTCAGAAGCCGAGGCCAGCGGGGAGCCACCCTTGCCCGTGAGGGCCATGAGGCTGGGCAAGGTCACCGGCAGGTCCTCCAGGGGCACGGGCACGGGGCCACAGGCGGGGCAGTGCACGATGGGGATCGGCGTGCCCCAGTACCGCTGCCGCGAGATCAGCCAGTCCTTCAGCTTGTCACTGGTCACGTTGCCTCCCATGCGCATCCTGCGGGCTTTCTGGGTCACAGCCAGGAAGGCCTCCTGCCGCGTCAGACCTGTGAACTGTGGGGAGGGAGATGCTGTTCCTCTCGGTGACACAGCACTAAGCCACCCTGTGGAAGTGCGGCGCCTCCACTTTCTGAGCCCTGGTGCCTTTGTTACTCAGGAACCCTGAGTGCCAGCCCCTTCCTCCTTAGGAAAATATCCGAAGTTGCATTTTACAACTGCAAAGAATTTACAAAGACAAATATTACTTTTGGTCCCAAACGTTCTTGAGAGTTTTGAAGAAATGAAAGCCTTTTGGGAGGCCTGGGCACTTCGTCCGCTGTGCCGAGTGGGTCAGCAGGCCTGGCTGTGGCTACCCCATCCCCGGGCCCTGCAGATGTGCGGAGACCACCGAGCATCAGCACCTGGAGGCCAGGGAAGCAGTGTGCGCGGTATGTATGTTAAATGACTCTTTCAGAGAGGCAAAGTTGATTATTCTCTGAAAGGCAGCAGGGGACCAACTGGGGCTGTGGCTTGGGGAACCAGACGGCTCCTTTTTTATATTTAAACGCTCCCATTTATAGCAGCAGCCCAGAACACTAATATGCGAAAGAATTCTCTTCCCACGGAGCCACAGGAACTGTGAGCTGTGGCTACTGTGCGCTGGGCTTGTGCTCAGCCTCGGGGCAGAGAACAGCAGTCTACTCGCGCCCCGAGCACGCGGCACTCACGGAACCACAACGTGCGGCCCTGCTCGGTGCTGGTCTGGGCATGGCCCCCAGCCAGACGGAGCCTCTTGCGCTGCACGCCCACGGTCAGAGCGACGAGGCGACTGCACGCAGCCCTGGGCAGCAGGTCTTCGGGTCAGCGCAGCCTTCCCTTCGGAAGCTCCAGGAGGGGTCAGCCTGGCCAGGCCCGCCCCTCGCGCAGGCGCAGACCCGTCCCGGAGCCCAGAGAGGCCGAGGCAGCGCTTGGGCTGCTCCACCGCGGAGCGAGCGGTGTTTCTCTGGGCGCTTGAGGTGCCTAGTTCTGGGCACGAAGCCCTTCCTGGCCCCGCAGGGTTTAGCAGGAGCTCCGTGGGCACCTGGTCGGGCTCTGCTCCAGCCCAGGTCGTCTGCTCCGCATCGGATGAGAAAACGCTGTCTCTCCTTGTAAAGGGGAAAGCCTGGCACGACTCCTGGGTTCATCTGCAGCCAGGCGGCCCTACACCTGAAAACGCCTGGGTCTCACGAGGTCAGGGGGCCCAGGGTGGAGGCAGCGAGCCCTTCCCAGACCTGGCGACCTGTGGAATCACTCGGCCAGAAGCCCTGGTTCACTGCCTCGTCGCCAGTAAGCAAACCCGTGTCCGTGGGGACCCGGGCACCAGTGTGTACTTTTGCTGGGGACGGAACCTGGGACCTTGTGCCTGCTCAGCAAGTGCTTACCACCGAGCTACCTCCAGCCCTCCGAGCCCCGTATTTTCCAGGCCCTTTCCAGGGTTCCCAGCGTGCAGTGCGTTTATACAGAGCGCGCCAAGCACCCTGGGAGTCCTGCTGGGCATGCGAACCACAAGGGCCTGAGTCCGCACCTCTGACCATGATCCCAGCACTGCCCCCGAGGCCAGAGGGTGGTGAGCAAGGTTCCAAGCCCCTGATTCCCTAACTCTGGTCCCTGGGTCAATGTGCAGCGGCACCCGGAAACACCCTAGAAATGCACATTCTCGGGTTCTACCTGGGATGACTGAACCAGAACTGCTGGGTAGCACCAGGCCAGAGGGTGATTCTGCTGTGTGCACAAGTTTTACTTTTTTTTCTTGAGATAGAGTCTCACCGTGTAGTCCAGGCTGGCCTCAAACTCACATCGATGCTCCTGCCTCAGCCTCCTGAGTGCTGGGATTACAGCCCTGTGCGACCACGTCCCACTTTGCCTGAATGAGACTCACAGCGCTGACCGCCTCCCGCGCACACCCTCTGGCCCTCCCCTGTCTTCCGTGGGACTTTCTTCTTTGGTTCCACACAGAGACTGGGCTCCAATCCTGCCATGCCCATCATCTCTAGGGGCTGTTGTCCCCTGCTAGCAAGAACTAGCCCTAAGGAAAAAAAAAAAAAAAACACCAAAAAAAAGGCCCGGGCATTTAGCTCAGTGGTTCCTGCAGGCCTCAAAAGCACAAGGTCCCAAGTTTGATCCCCAGTGCCAACCTCCCCACCCCCAAATAAATAAATAAATAAATAAAAATAGGGCCAGGGATTTAGCTCAGTGGTTTTGCCGCCTGCTGTGCAAGCGCAAGGACACGAGTTCGATCCCTGGTATCGAAAAATAAAATAAAATAAAATAAAATAAAAACCATGCTGGTCTTGGCAGTGCATTACTGTAATCTCAGCACTAGGGAGGCTGAGGCAAAAGGATCGCTGAGAGTTCTGAATCAAATTTCCCCATAAGGTCAACATTGAACCTAACCATTGAATTTGATTCAGTCTGAGACCAATCCGGTTTGCAACCAGAATCGTGGAAAGAATCAAGTTCATGAACTGGGGCACCGCTGTATTTTGTTCTCACAGACAAAGAAGCAAAGATGAGATGTCATGCTCCTGCAGGAAAGGCCAGGGTTCCAGAAGGAAGCTCTTGGGCCCAGGCCGGGGCACCCACCTCGGCAGAACTTTGAAGCCTCTCTGTTCCATCTGGCAGGGTCTGGATGACGCTGGAGTAGGACAGGCCCAGAGCTTGGGCCACTCGGGTGTCCTCCGAGCTGGTGCTGGGAATTCCTGGTCAGAGGGGAAGAAACAAACATCTTTTAGGTATCCCCATCACGAGTGACCAACAGTGCCTGAGCTCGGAGACCAGCTCTGTTTGTTTACAAGTTGGAGATCCACAGCCGCTCACTGGGAAGAGACCAGTCCGGAGCAGCCCCTCGCCCCAACACAACCGCTTGCCATTCGGGATGTGCTACTTCCTCTCATCTGTTTCCTTTGCTTAGTTTCTTTTCAGTAGCTGTAAATGCTAAAATGTGAAACAGCGGCTCACAAGCACCTGCGAAGCCTCCTTCAGTCCCTCAGGGGAGAGGACAGAGGCCTTCTCCAGGGAGACAGGGATGCTGCCCCGGCATTGCCCAGACCCTTGAAAATGCCACTGGGCCGGGCCCTTGAGAGCTACTGACTGTTTTGTCCCCGAGGGTGGCAGTGCACCCTGGGGACACTGATCCTTCTGCCCTGAGAGTCCTGGAGGGCACCAGGGTGAGCATCGGTGACACCTGCTGAGGGCCGCTGCCCACTGCTGGCATGCACAGCTGGACGGGCTGTCTCGGCTGGCCCTGGCTGGCGGTGCGTCTGAGCCGGGCTCTGCTGTGGGGAGCCCCTGGCACTGTGGGGGCTGGGCAGGGTTCCTGAACCCATCAACGTGCTCCCTGCAGGGGACAAGTACAGTGTCCCAAGCCCCCAAGTGACTCCCTGCCACAGCGTCCCGTGGACACCACTGGTGGGTTCGGGGCTCAAACACCTCGTGGGCACGAAGGGTAATGCACTAAAGGCCGGGCTGATCTCCAAGAGCGTCTCAGGCCGCTCCCCCGGAAGTGGCTTCATGTTTGGGAGGGGGTTTGAGAGCTCTTTGCAAGATGCAAAGCTGCAATAGGATGCAGGGTTCTGCAGGTTCCAGATGGGATTACGGCAAAAAGCATCAACTGAAGTGAATAAATGCTAAGTGGACCTGAAGCAAGAGGACAGATGGCAAGTGATAAAGGTAACAGAAAGTGCTGGTGGTCAAGGAGTGAAAATAGCCACTTATTACACACAAGCATGTGGACTGGAACAATGAGCAGTAATGTTCAAAAGGAGCCACTGTGACCACAAGATTTATTTGGCCATATAAAGAATGTCCTCGGCCATGGGGTGGTGTTAGGGAGCTAGTGGATGGGAACTGTAACAGGACGGGGGGTGGGGTGGGGGTGGGGGTGGGGGTGGAAATACGGCTTTATATTTTCTTATTTATTTCTGCTTCTGTCCTTCCTGGAGGGTAGGAAGCCATAGTTTATAAAATGCTAATTATGCAATTGTGGGGATGGGAGAGAACAGGAGAAATAATTTTCCAGGCATACATAAAAGGCTATTTTTCCCCTTCTGAACTCTCAATATTGTGTCAGTGATTTCACTTACAATATCAAAGAACAGCAAAAACCCCAGCAGCCATATCAGCCAGAGCTTTCTTTATTGTGTATCCTGGCTGATTAATAAGTTTTCCTAATTACAAAATGCATAAGGGAAATTATTTCTAGGTTTAGTCAGAAGAGGAGATGTGAATGGCTTGGTGTCATTTTCTGCTCTGAGGTCTCCCTGCAAGTCCTTCATCAAAACCTGACCTGGGGCTGGGGGCGCAGCTCGGTGTGGAAAGCCTGCCTTGCCACTGTCAGGCCCTAGCTTCTGTCCCCAGCACCTCCCAAACAAAGGAAGGGTTGATCTGACCTCTGTAAGGAAAAAGGTGTGACTTTAAGGGTTGGGATCCCGTAGGAGTTGCCAGGGAGACACACAGGTTGGCCTGTGGGCAGGAGGCTGGACAGAGCCCTCTTTAGGTTGCTGCCCTTTGCCCCAGACTTCCCAGGGCAGGCTGGGAGCTTCCTGACACCCGACATGCAGTTCTTTTTTTTTTGGTACCGGGATTAAACTCGGGTCCTTGTGCTTGCAGGGCAGGCGGCGGCACCGCTGAGCTACATCCCTGGCCCTCGATGTGCAGTTCTAACCAGATCCCAGCTCCACCGCTGCTTCACAGTACTTCTTGAACAGCTCGGGCCCCCCCACCCCCAGCGCTTCACCAGAACCCACGCTGGTTCCGTGAACTCAGAACCCTCTCAGGTTCTGCGGGCGGTGCTGCATGGGTCTGGAGACTGGATTATCATCTGAGCTGCACTGCTCCCCACATCTGTGTCTCAGTCTCACCAGCTCTGTTCCTGGGCCAGATGCTTCTGATTTCCATAGCAACTAGCCGGGTGCGGTACAATTAATGTTTTCAAATGCAGTTCTTCAATAAAGGATGATTATAGCAAGGGGAGACGCTGGACCGTAGCTCTGGTAGAGCACTTGCCTAGCATAGAGAGGCCCTGAGCTCAGTTCCAGCACCACACTCAAGAGGTGAACACCACGGACTCAGCAGCTAGCTCTTCCACGTGACAGTGACCGCACAGGACTTTGGTCTGAAAACTGCGCATTGTGTTATGGTGATAACATTTTAGTAGCCACTTACCTATTTTTGAATCCAGAGAGCCTCCAAGGTCAGCTTCGGCCAGGATGACAACAGGGAGCTCCTGCCGGGTGAGTGTGTTCACAGCCACCACGGGAGTGAGGCAATCTGAAAATGAGAGCAATGCCAGGTGCATGTCCATCACCTGGGACATCCATCCGCTCTGAAGCTCAGATTTCACGTCTCCCAAGTTCTGTGCTCACTGTTGAAGGATGTGTCTTTTGAAAGGTATCAATGGGAAATTCACACCAGAGGAACATCAGACAGTTAAACAAGCACAGAACTGCTCATCCACGCTCATAAGCAAGAGGTGAGAACAGCAAGTTTACTTTCCAGATGGGGAGGAAAGACGTTCTCATCACTGTCTTTTCCTTTTGAAAAACGCCTCTCATATACAGAACAACACACACAAAACCTATCTATAGTGAGAGGAGGAGAGGTGAAATTTCAAATCAACACCTGAAGATGAAGTGGATAGGGATAGAAAATGACTGAGCAGTGCAGGGGAAAGACAGTTGTAGACATCCTAACCTGGAACAGTTCCTTCCCACACGCTCTTTTCTTAGGAGCTACTGCAGGATGTGTTCCAGCAAAACAAGGGGACAAATGGAGAAAAAGATCAGACACAGGATCCAGAACAGGGAATGCAACACAGGAAGGACATTCATGGGACGATGATAGAGAGGGTCTGGGAGGTCGGAGGTGCAGCAGAAAACTGGAGCTTGAATGGGTCAGATTCCAGTGGGATACAGCACCCAGGAAGCGTCGCCAGGAAAATAAGAGGATGGACGGATTCGCTGGTGGACTGGAATAGACAGAGAACAGAATTAAGAGGAGTTTCAAGGAGCTGGGGGGAAGACGTGGGAAGACTTAGGTGAAAATTCAAAGAAGACAAAGCAAAACAAAAAGGACATTATGAATTTCAGGAAAAATAAGAAGTTATATAAGAAGGAAAATGTACTCACAGTATCCATGGCTCAATTGTGGATATTTAAGTGGTCAAAATAAAATACTTAATTTAAATTTATCCAAACACCGTACTATCTAAAATGAAGCTTTTTATAACCATGGCCACAGGGAAACAAGCCACGTATGCATCTGTCTTCACGAAGCACACGGAGGGTAGGGAGAGACTTAAATGAAGTTCTGGAGAAGAAGGCCTGAGAAGGGCTAAGGGAACAATTATGGCAGTGAGTTCGCTTGAGTTTCTTCCGGACATAACCACTAACAACTGTTATAGCTGATTAACTCTTATGATTTGCAATGCTTGTCACGTATTGAGACTTCATGTCATTGTCTGAAGCATATCTTAAAAAGCCCCAAACTAACATAAGCCAGGAGTTAGGATTTATACTTCACAATGCTAAGGCAGCCCCAGAGGCACCACAGCATCTTCACTGCGGGTGTCGGGGCGCACGGAGCAAGGCACAGGGCTCGAGGGCAAGGCTCTGCTGGCACTGGGGACAGACGCACGGCTGCGAAGTGCCCACTGCTGGGACTCAAAGTGTTTGATTCCAGGTTGCACTTTCTGACTCATTTGCCAGTTCTGCATTATGGTAGTGAATGTGATGCCTTACGAGCCAGCCGGGGTGGGGAGGAGCAGGTCATTCCATGCCGTCTGGAACGCATGCATGGGGGACAGCAGGGCGGCAGCTTACACAGCACGTCTCGTACAGACGCTGCCCCTGCCCTCTGACTTGGCAGCAGCACCCATCTCCTGCGGGGCGCGGTGTGGCCACAGGGCGACCGGGAGCAACTTCTAGGTCCAGACCAAACAGGAAAAGGCTGCCTTGGCCCAGCTGGCTCCTCACCGGAACAGGACGAAATGGAGAGCACCCTGGAAAACCCTAGAGGGCAGCCCGGAAGGGAGGCTCGTCAGCCCACCCAGCTGCGAGGTGCAGCCAAGAGGCTCCCGTTCATCCGGGAACCCATCCCCCACCAGACTCATGTTCCAGCACACCGCCCCAAAACAGACACAGCTGCGCAAGGAGGTCACTGTTGTAGCTGCACTGTTAGCCTTCTGTTTGTTTGTTTGACACAGTATCTCGCTATGTAGCCCAGGCTGGCCTTGAACTCGTGGTGATCCTGCTGCCTCAGCCTCCCAAGTGCTGGGATTACAGGTGTGCACCACCATGCTGGCTCTTTTTGTTGTTGTTAGTATTCTTTGACTTTTCCCATAGTATACATGTATCATTTGGGGTGTTTTTTGGTACCAGGTGTCTAACTCGGGACCTGGCACTTGCAAGGCAGGCGCCAAAACCACTGAGCTAAATCCCTGGCCATATCATTTGGATTTTTAAAATAGTAATTTTTAAAAAGAGGGATGAAAAGTAAAATATTCTTGAAGTGTCATTTTATATCTGATAGGTTAGGAAAAACTTAGAAAGTTAACATCTGTTTGTGAAGTTGAAAAGAGTCATTTATCACTGGATTTGGTATTGTAAGCTGATAGAGCCCCATCAGAAACCAATAAAAGTAACATATAACAAGAACGAGAAAGACGTTCATGCATTTCACTTGACCAAAAATTCCACTCTTAGGAATATCTCCTAAGGAAAATTCTACAAAAGCAAAGAGCTTTGTGGACGATGATGTACACAGCAATCTCTGCTGCAGTCCCAAACATTCAAAAAGTCCAATGTTCAATCTACTAGAGACGATTTAGGGTACTATGGTACGCTGAGTTGATAGGATATTATGTATGGATTAAAAGTAATGGTAAAGCCTGCATAAAAAATAAACATTTTCTGATAGGATGTTAAATGAAGACAAAAAAATAAAGAAGCAGAGCAATTTTATTTTTAAGGTATGTATGGGAACATGAATTAAAACTACAGGGGCCGGGCATTTAGCTCAGCAGCACAGCACCTGCCTGGCAAGCACAAGGTCCTGAGTTCATCCCTGGTACCGAAAACAAAACAAAACAAAACAAAACAAAACCAAAAAACAACTACAATGACTACATGCAGAAGAGTGAAGTTGGAACTCTACCTCATATAAAAATTAACTCAAGGTGGGGCCAGGTATTTAGCTCAGTGGTTCCGCTGCCTGCCTCGCAAATGCAAGGTCCTGAGTTCGATTCCTGGTACCAAAGAAATAAATAAAAATGAACTCAAAATGAATTAAAGATCTAACCTAAGATTCAGAACTATAAAATTTGTAGAAGGCATACATGTAACTCTTTATTACCTTTCACTAGGAAATAGTTTAAAAAAATTTTTTTAGGTTTAACATCAAAAGCAAAAGCAACAAACAAACAAAAGACAAAATAGATAAATTGGGCTTCATCAAAATGAAAACCTTGCTGGTGGTGTAGGTCAGTGGTAAAGCCTTGCCTAGTGTGCATGAGGCTGTGGGTTTCATCTCCAGCACAGGAAGGAAGGAAGGTAGGAAGGAGGGAAGGAGGGAGGGAGGGAGGGAGGGAGGGAGGGAGAAAGAAAGAAAAAAAGAAAGAAAGAGGAAAGGAAAGTCTTTTGTCCTTTAAAGGAAACCATCAAGAAAATGAAAAGACAACTTCTTGTAAGTATGTATCTGACAAGCAAGTATATCCAAGTATATCTAAAATATATAAAAATTAAAACAGGCGGGCCGGGGATTTAGTTCAGTGGTTTTGCTGCCTGCTGAGCAAGCACAAGGACCTGAGTTCAATCCCTGGTACCAAAAAAAAATTAAAACAGCCAAAGATTTGAATAAACATTTCTCCAAAGATGATATATAAATGGGCAATGAGCAAATGAAAAGATGCTTGATAATATCAACAATCAGGGAAATAAAAAGCAAAACCATGATGAGATACCACGTCACACTACCAAGATAATCAAGAAGACAGAAAACAACAAGTGTTGACAAGGATGCGGAGAACATGGGCACTGCTGCTAGGGATGGCAAATGGCTGAGGCTGCTCAGGAAAACATTCTAGTAATTCCCCAAGTAGTCACTACACAGCCTAGCAATCCATGCCAGGCAAAAGACTCAAACGAAATTAGGAGATCTGTGTGAATGTTACAGCAGTATTAGTCACTATGGCAAAAAAAGCAGAAATGATCCAAATGACTATCAAGTAACGAATGGATAAATAAAACATGGTCCACCCATACAGTGGAGTATTATTTGGAAATAAAAAGGAATAAAGTGCTGGTATGTGCTATAACATGCAGGAGCCTTGAAAACATTATGCTAAGTGAAAAGAAGACACATATAAAAGGACAGATATAATTCCACTGACACGGAATGCCTAGGACAGGCAAATCTGTGGATGAAGAAGTGGGTTTGTCGTTGGCTGGGGCTAAGGCGGGAATAGACGGGTGTGTGACCACAAGAGGGCGTGAGGTTTCTTTGTGGAAGTGGTTGCACAAGTCTGTGCATGCATTAACAACCATTCAGTTAGACGCGTCAAGTCCATGAAGCATATGGTGTGTGAATTTTATCTCAGTAAAATCATTATAGGATGAAGCCATATTAAAAAAAAAAGTAGAGAGCTGCATTAAAGCATTGGATTTTTTCATTTCACATAAAGTTCAATTACTCCAGTTTGTCAATTAGGAAAAAAATTAATCCGTAAACTTAAATACTGGAAAATATGCAATGAATGCATAGTAGTGACTTGCATGCTCTCCGTGGTCAAAATTTCTTTCTCAGAAAGAATGAAACTACAGTCTGAGGTTCCTGACCAGGCCTGGTGTTCCCTGCTACTTCTCGGAAGCCCTGCACTGCTGAATTGAGGCAGGAACCCAGGGAGGTGAGGGGAATCCAAAGACGCAGGAGCGGTTTGAAGAGCGGCTGAACGTGCTAGTTCTAGGCCAAGAGGTGAGTCGCGGCCCTGCCCACAGGGAGCTCCCTGCGTGGAAGACGGCCTCTCCACCCCAGCCACACAATGGGACCCCAGAGTGCTCTGCAAACAGGGCTCCAGGTCACGAGTGGGCGGCAGGCAATGCAGAAGACCTCTCTTGTACAGCAGCTGTCACCGCAGAGCTTCTGAGAGGTCCAGGGTGAGGACACCTGCTGACTTCCATTCCATGTTTCTGGAGGAGAAGCTTTCCCTCCACAGCTTGTCTGGTAACACCCACTGGAGGAGGACCACTGTCAGAGGCAGCTTGGTTACAAACCACATCGAGGCCTGGCGGATGGTGCACACTTGTAATCCCAGCACTATGGGAGGCTGGGGCAGGAGGATCACAAGTTTTGAGTCCAGTCTGGGTAACTCAGCAACTTAGTGAGACCTTGTCTCAAAATCAAAAATAAAATGAAATTTAAAAAGCTGGTGATGTAGCTCAGTATAAAGGTCTTGGGTTCCATTGCTAGTGCCACAAAGACAAACAAACCACCAACAAACAAAAAATAACCACACAAAACAAAATCAGATCAATACCCAGGATCAGGGGTCCACCTTGCCCCCATGAAGCTGGATGAGAGACAGGGCAGGCGCGGCAGCGCGCAGCGAGCAGCTCATTACTAAGTGTCCGGGCTCCCTGGGAGGTTTCTGCTCTCTGATATGTCAGCGACAATGGCCTCCTAAGTCACCCTTTCCAGACCTCATTTACTCCTCGGGAGAGCAGCACCGTGTAGGCAACTGTGGTTCAGAGAGGAAATGTGTGGTGCCGAAGCCGCAGGGTTGAATATTTTAGCATCGGGCAGGCAAGGAGACTAGGATGGAAGAGGTGGTCAGCGGAGAACAGCGAGCCGTCAGTAATCGGGGACAAACGAAAATCCAGGACCCCCAGGAACGCCTCACTTTTTCCTCTCTTAGAGAAATCTGTGCTAAGTAAAGAACCATACACTCCACCAGTAGCATCAGCAACCTCGGCAGGCCAGAGACCGGGACTGGCCCAGCACCCCCGTCCTGGCTGCCTTCCGGACATGCGCAGAGCAAGCTAAGCTGGAAGCCACTTGACCTTCCTTCCCTGGCGAGGACGGCCGGACTGGATCCTTGGTCTGCAGAGGGAATCAGGAGCCAGGTGGAGAGATCAGCAGTAGCCGGAGCTCTCTCAGGGAATTTAAACCCCTGCAGGTGTTGGACCCGGTCTCAGGTGGGTGTCATGAGTGCTTTGCGACCCTCAGTGGTCACAGCTGTAACACAGTCCCCGGAAACCCGGCGCCAGCGGAAAACAGCCAGTCTGCTATGGCAAATGACAGTAGCAACACGGCATGCAGGCGACTCGAAACCGAAGGGCCAGCGGATGCACGGGTCTGTGATCTTAGGGTCACTGCAATTTACCCTTATCCACTTCCTTCAGGCATTTCGGGTTACCTTCTGGGAAAGGTGCGTTATGCTCAGTGCCCCAACTGGCATTAGGAGACAACAGTGTCACCTGACAAAATCCAAGGTCTTGATGTGCAAATTGATCTAGAGACGGAATAGACTGACGTCTGCCTAAAGACTATTTCCAGCCTGAAAATCAGACCTGGGAAAACGCACTGTTCCTTTTGGAATTATGTGAGAGATTACTGAAGAGGGAGAAAGCAGTAACCAGCCAATCCACGTGGAACGTGCATTAGACCTTGCCAAAACAAATTTGCCCATGCATCACAGAAACACTGCTGTTTGCACGACTAAAAGAATTTCTCCATTTATCACACATGAAAATGTTTTGAATGTAGTCTTTCACCTCAGGAACTTCATCTTTTATAATTTACCAGCTCATTTGTGTCCTATTGAAATAACCCCATTTAAATTTGTGTCCCTAAATGAACCACAAGAAGAAAAAAATGTGAAGGTTAGATGCTTAGTTTTAGTTTTTCAGTTTTAGATATTACTCAACTATCACAGCCCTCAAGGAATCTCAAACTGCTTATGAGGGTAAAAAGGTGAGTTTCCCCCTTAGATTAAATAGTTCAAAAGAGGCATTTTTCACTTGGGTAAGAAGAGAAAATAAAGTGGAGAGAGACAGTCATAGCTGGGTCGTAGGCACCGACTGTAATTTTAACTCAGAAGAGCCTCTCCCTGTCTCGGGTGGGGGCCGGGTGAGTGTACCTGCTTCGCCCTGAGCGACCCCGTGTCCCTGCGGCTGACTTGATTCTGACTCAGCTGTACTCCCGGGACGTGAATGGCTGGGCGCCAGGAGGGAAGGGGGTCACAGGTCTGAATGCTGGTTTTCCTGTTTGTGTTGAAACAGGGTCTCGCTATGTAGTTTAGGCTGCCCTTGAACTCACTATGTAGCCCAGGCTGGCCTTGAACTCTATGCCAATCCTCCTGTCTCAGCCTCCCGAGTGCTGGGATCACAGCCATGCACCACCACGCCTGGCTTACCCTCCTGTTTTAAAAGGAAAAAGTAAAGCTAAGGTGAAGAACAAATCACATGGGCTGACCACGAGAGGGGACCGTGAGCTCCGGGAAGGCCAATGGTCAGGGGCTGGAGCCTGGCCAACTCACCTTTGCCGGGCACCTGCGCTCCTCGCAGGGCTTCCCGAAGCGAGCCGCGCCCATGCAGGAGGCTGTGGCAGGGAGTGACCGCCACGTGGGAAGCGCCGTAGATGGCCTCAGGGGTGGCGGTGTAGGCGGTCAGCTTTTCTCCGGTGTCTCGCCCGTCCACCTGGCAGGAGGACACGAGGGTCATTCGGTTTCTCAGGCCCCCGGGGCTGTGAGGGTCCTCCAGCGAGTGTGTCCCGCCCCTTCCCGGCTCATCCCCACAGCACGACAGCTCTGACGGTGGACGGGGGTTCGGGACCCCTGCTGCAGCTGTGCAGGCGCTGAGAAGAGAAAGCAGTGAAGGAGGTGGGCGCGTGCTCAGAAAGAAAGTTTCCTGGTCACAAATCAAATCTTGTTTCTATCTTGAAAAAGGAGCTATGTTTCCCTGCAAGATTTAGGGGTTTGGTGAAAAACACAACTCAATTTTCTAAAGAGAAAATCAATGGCAGGGTCATGGCTTCTCAGAGAGAGGAAGGAAGGGTCAGAGCGGACGCAAGGCAGTGTCCTGAGAGCTGTAGGAGCACATGGCTCCGGCATCCAGTGCCAATCCCACGCCAGACACGGGGACTCAGCAGGCACTGGGTCAGACACCATGACTGTGCCAAGGGGGAGCTGAACAGTGGTCCCAGTGTGGCCAGCCCTGCGTGCCCAGGCCCAGCCACGTCCGCCTGCTTTGGAGAACCCTCCACCGTGTGTCTCAGGAAAGTGGCGGAGGACGGCTCAGCCTGGGATGTGTCACTGAACAGTCCCTGAAGGGCGCACTGGGCGCTGGCAGTGGGAGCCACCAGGGGCACTTTGGTGAGGTGACACACAGGGAATTGGGGGCTTGGTAGCAAGAGGTGGGCACCCAGCCAGCTGCCGGTGGGGAAGAGCTAGCGGGCGGCCGGCTTTGTCTCCGGGCTGCGTCTTCCTCCTAAATGTTCTGCAGGGATTAAGGTGTGGGCAGGGTTTGGAGGAAACAAAGAGAGCAGTGTTGATTAGAGAAGGAGAAATCGGAAGGCTAAAAGAGAACACACAGAGAGCATGGTGGTACAGGCCTGTCATCCCAACACCTGGAAGGCTGAGGCAGAAGGATCGCTATGAGTTCAAGGGCAGCCTGGGCCACAGAGCAAGACCTGGTCTCAAAAAAATTTTTAAAAAAGAGAGAAAGAAAGAGAGCACATGGAAAGCAGCAATGGAACGCCTCTTAGGAGAGGCAGAGGAGAGTCGGGGGCCCCTTCCGGAGCAGGAGGCCTCCAGCTGTGGCCTCCCTCCGCTGGACCAGGTGTGAACACGCCTTACAGCAGGCTCGGCCCACCTCAAGGCGAAGCTGCCCTGGCTTCTGCTCCCTTGCCTTTCTACCTGCTTCCCGACACAGACCCGAGAACAGTGACAGGTAGGGCCCACTGTGCAGGAGAGGCCACATTCTGCACGTGACTCTGCGCGCCCTGGGGGCCCCGGGACCCTGTGTGTCTGCCTGGCCCAGCGTGGTACCAGCAGCCTATGGGGCTGTGACGTGTGAGATGTGGTTGGAGTAGGCTGTGCCAAATTGTGAATTTAAATATTTCCGTGGTGAATCGTTCATGGCTACCATCTTGAAATGCTAATATTTCTATACAATGGGTTAAATGCAATGCTGTTGGAATTAACATTACCTCTTTACCTGCACTCTGGGAAACAAGACAGCGCAGAGTGAGGAGTGTGGCCTGCTCCTGGGGCCGGGCTGCTGAGCTCCGGGTGGGCTGCAGGACTCGGAGTCTGAGCCCAAGGCACTCACCTTCAGCGCGAAGTCCAGGTGGCAGCCCACGCAGTCCCCGATCCAGTGGGCCTGCATGCCCTTGATCCCGTACCACTCCGGAAGCTGGCCCAGCGCGTCCTGCATGGCCTGAGGAATGAGCAGGCCGAGGAGAGGCATGAGGCTTGCTCAGGAGAAGCAAGCACTCTGGGGCTTGCTGGGTAGGAAAGGCAGGGACGCTACGGTGCAGGAGGCTGGGGCTCACCTCTCCTCCTTTACCTGCCTACGTTGGAGGAGGTGGCAGAGCTGACGGGCACACTCCTCACGGCTTGGCTCAGGAGAGGGAGCCACGGTTCCATGGAAGAAAACTAACAAAGAAGGCCCATCCTTCACGTCCTGGCTGCTGTGTTTGGTGCGTTCCCGCCCACAGTCTGGGAGCTAAGCAGGAGTTCCTGATCTGCAGCTTCCCTCCCACTCTGTCCCTTCCTCTCCAAACGCGGGGACCTGGAGCTGGGGCCCAAGCCCCAAGCCCTCCTCTCTGGGAATCCTCCAGGCAGGGCTGCGCCACCCTGCAGACAGGTCCTCCTGCCCCTCTGTCTTCATGACTGAATTGGTGAGGCCAGGAAACCTGGGCAGAGATGCTCTGCTTAAAATATTCGGGTCTCAGAAGAGGACAGAGGGTTCAAAGAGGATGAAATGTGAATGTTTTCAGATGCTAATTCTAAAAAAAGTGCCTGCTTAAAACCTAAATCTATGAATATTTTTAAAAACCAAAAGAAATTTTAAAAATTGACCAGATGAAACCAATATCTTGAACCACCCAGCAAGTCTCCTCTGCATAATCAACACATTATTCAGGGCTGCGCTTTTTTCGTCTTTTTTTGTCAGGGACTCGCTATGTAGTCCCGGCTGGTCTCGAACTCACAGCGATCCTCTTGCCTCAGTGTGGGATTACCACCTGGCCCAGGGCTACGATTTGATGAGCAGAACTTTAGGGACGCCCCCCCACCCCAGGCTGGCAGAGGTTGGTGTGGGCGTCTGTGGTGCTTCAACTGTGCAACCTAAGGGCTGTTCCTATCTGACTAGGGTTTGCACTGAGATGATTCCTCCCTCCTTTTGGGGGTGCAGCAGTCCCAATGACAGCAGTGCACTGATCTCAATTCTTGGCAAGCTAGAGGTCTCCCTTTTCCCACCTCAGTCTACCCAAGTCTTGCTGGCTCACAGAATCCAGAAATCCAGGCAAGCAGCAGGTGTTTTAGACTTGTTTTTAAAAGTGCTGTGAAATTCCTTTTCAAACTCAATCCGAGGAACTCAGTGCATCAGAGCCGAAGGAAGAAGCCCTCCCTTCTCCTCTCTCTGTTCCCACTGATTCCCAAGGATCAACATTTCGGAATCCGTTGATGAATTCAGCTTCTGTCTCGGGGAAGAAGTGAAAACCACAGGGTTCTGGGGTCATGAGATTTCCCTAAACTCACTCAACCCGTGAGCACCAGGTCCCAAATGACAAATCACTCAGATCTTCTGACTGTTCTGGGATCATGGTACTGTTTTCAGGTATCTCTAGATAAATTAAGCAAAAGACAATCTTCTTCCAGGTGCAAAAATAAGAAATTAATACTACTGGATTTTCACAAGGAATCACTATATTGAGAACTCATCAGGGCCGGGGATTTAGTTCAGTGGTTCTGCTGCCTGCCTCGCAAGTGCAAGCTCCCAAGTTCCATCCCTGGTACCAAAAAAAAAAAAAAAAAAAAACCCTCAGGGAGAACTCATAAGAACCAACACTGTAGTTTCTTGTGGCTCTCATTTAGCATACATAGACATACTGTGGCTTGCAAAGTGGCTTAGTAGTCCTTTGTCTAGGGTAGGTCTGAAAGACAGCTGCTGTTGCTCCCTGGGTACCCCACTTAAATGAAGACTGTCATGCCTGGCCTGAATGAGATCCTTTGAGCAAACATCCAGCCCCCAACAGATAACAGGGAACCACTAAAAGGGCCTGCTACTCTCAGTAGACAGAACAGATAGCCACAACAAAAATTTAGGATGGAATATACAATCTCCTTTGTGCCAAAGAGCCCAGCATTATATGCACACCTTTGCTGACCGTCCTTGGATCCTCAAGTATAAACACTCCACTTCAAATTCCTTAGAATTCCCTTCTAAAAACCTACATCAACCTCATTTCCTTCCCATCTCTCTGCTGAAATCTTCCCTCAGTTTCAGTTTCTGTTCACACCCGGGCAGGAATAAAGCTTTTTCTCACACAAAGCCTGTGGCGCATGCCGTTTGTAACAAAGATGTTTTAAGAAGTCGAACCAGAACTGCACATTAATGAGTCAGAACATGTGCAAGCATTTAAGAACAGGGGCCAGTTAGAGATGGGCTGAGCAATCTTCAATTGGAAAGAAAGGCTTTAGAAATATAAAATCTAATGAGGAACAAGAAAGAGAAAGATTAAAACTAAAAACCTGGGGATAAAGAGGATTAAAGATAACACGGTGAACCTGGCTTTCTCATCAAAAGGGGAAAATACTGCTGGTAATAAATCTGTAGAACCCAGGAGAGAAGCCTGTGTGAGCTCAAGGTTTAAGTACAACTGTAACAGGCAGGACCACAGAAAAAATTCTTGAACAGGCAATGTAAAAGACATGATACGTTTTAGGAGACCTGGGTTAAAAAAGTGTAAGGTAAACAGAGAAATACAGATTTTTAAAACAAGTAGATTTATTTATTAGCTACTAAGAGGAGAGTTGACAAATAAGAACCTTGAGAGCTGGACACAGATTTGAGACAGAATGGAAGAGACAAGATTTAATAGCTTCTAATTAAAATGGATGCTTTAAAAAAACTGAACGCTTGGCATATTTCTGAATCAGTGTGATTTGATTAGCAATTCTTTTTTTTGGAGGGGGGGACTGGGGATCAAACTCAGGACCTTGCGCTTGCAAAGCAGGCAGCAGAACAACTGAGCTAAATCCCTGGGCCATGATTAGCAATTCTTTTTAAATTATAATTTGTATACTTTTCTAAAACACATTCTTGGTGCCAAGATGTCTTTATTCTTTTTTTTGAAATCCTTTCCATGCAGTCAGTCCAAAGACACAACGTATATCTGAGGTCTAAGAAAGGAAATCAATCCTGAAGGCAGTAAGGTTTTTAAATATCTAGATCTCCCCTCCAGAATAGTCTAGAGCAGTGGTGGTGACCTTTTAGAGGCCGAGTGCCCAATCTGCAACCCGAACCCCAAAGTGCCAACACTGCAATTGAACCTGAGTACTGAGGTCTTAGTTTAGGAAAAACAGCTGTTACCCAGGCTGGGCTGCTGGGGTGACTTGGCTCGAGTGCCAAGGGGGCTCTGCGTGCCACAGGCTCGCCACTGCTGGTCTAGGGGAGTGAACTTGCACTTACACCTAGTCTTCCTCTCCTGTGTTGACTTTGGCATAAAATTCTGCATGAAGATGTTTTGTTATAAAAATTTATTTGGGGCCGGGGATTTAGCTCAGTGGTTTTGCCGCCTGCTGCCCAAGTGCAAGGACCTGAGTTCGATCCCGGGTACCAAAAAAAAAATTCATTTGGCCTGATGTCTGCCTTGTTTGAATTTAGAGAAGATACACAAATAAGAATTTTAAAAAACCATCCTCTGACAGCCCTCCGTTCACCTCTGTCTAACATACGGTATGTATTTCTGGCAGGATCCACTGGCTGTGCCACTGTGACTTATTTACAAATGTGACTGAGCTCCTTGTGAGTCTCGATTCCAGCAAAGGTACTGTTAGCTGAGCAGGGAAGTAGTGAGCTCCAAGCGAGGGGCCCTGCAGACGGTGTAGTTTGTCAGGGGTGCGAATCCTCGGAGCAGGGGCAGGAGGAGGACAGCTCCTGACCAGCTCACACAGGCTTCAGCGAGCACCTCGAGCCGAGACAGGGGGACCACGTGGGCCAGAAAGCAGCTTCCAGGGTGCTTGCCTGGGCTCAGTGCCCAGACTGCAAATAAAACCAAGCAAACCTCCACTGAAAGGGACTCACCCATGGGAACAGGCCAGTGGTGCTCAGGGAAAGTGCACCGGGCTGCAGCCCAGGCCACCTGTGCTCCGTGGGGAGGAACCCAGGAAGCTGCGGGCAGCCAATCTGGGATTAACTCAGGCCACACTTCGAGTCTGCTTTTCCCTTCTGACCCTGGTAGCCCTGTCTCTCCAGCACCAGAACTGAGGGACAACCAACTAGGCGGGATGTGTTAGAAGTCACAGAAACCCATGCCAACAGCTGGAGCGAGGGGTTTCCTCAAGAGAGGACAAGCGCAGAACACTGGACCCAAAAAGATTCCAGACGTCTGCTCCTGAGCACTGTGTGGGGACCAATCAGAAGATGCCATTCCCAGTCCTTCATTTACATATGGGCACGCACAACCAATCCAAAGACCGTTGTTTCTGATCCTTCACTTACAACCGGCTAGAGGCCAAGCGAGGTTTTGATAGGACCACTGTCCCAGGGCTGTGGAGGTGGGGCCGAGCCAGGTGTTCTGGGTGGAGAGATCCCTTTCCCTTTGTCCTGGGGTCCCCGTGGGCCTTTTCACTGGCCAGCTCTCTCCCCATAGACTGGACTTCTTTTCCACCTTCAACAAAACTACACCCTCACTGCCTCTTCTGCGGGTCTTTTCCAGTTCTTTGTTCTGGACACCGAGGACCAGGAAAGAAGCCCCTGGGACCCTCGCATCTGGCATCAGAACCATTCTGCTTCCACCAACTTCCAAGAGATGGTGATACAGGTACTGAAATGTCACCAACACCCTGGGAAGGCTGACAAGAGCCATCTGAGATTTTTTCCTCTTTCTTTTTCTTTCTGCAGTGCCGAGGACGGAACCCAGAGCCTCTTGCGTGCCAGGCAAGTGCTCCACCACTGGGCAACCCTGCCCGAGACTTCTAATCTCCAGAGGCCACGACGCCACTCAATGCACCTGGACCAACAAGACAGAGCCACGCCTGTGACTACCCCGAAGGGAGGAGGGAAGGAAGCTGGGGGGGGGTCCTCATCCCAGTAGGGGGTCTCGGGGAGACATGACATAACCCTGACACCATGCTGTTTTATTCTATGCTTACTAAAATGGAAACAATCATTTTGTGAAAAATTTGGAAAGGACAGAGGGACGAGGAAAATGACCAGTTACGCACACCGATTTAAGCATCCAAGGAGGTGTCTGAATGCTCGGTCCTCTCTCCTTCCTCCTCTGTGTGTCTTATCTTCCGTCCATTCTAAGGTGCACATTTTCCCTTCTGAGATGGGGACATTTACCATCGGCGGTGTCTGACGGACAGCATTTTTCTCTCCAAATTGGGGCATTACATTGATAACCAGCCATGCATCAGGACAGAGCGGAGGGCTGGTGTGTGCGCCAGAGCACGCACTTTTACAGCAAGGACCGTGCTGCTAAATGACTCTTTGAAAACTGCTGGAGCCCATCTCACCTGCACGTTCCACTTTTTCCAGCTCCAAGCAGGGTTAGTTCTGTTATTCTGAGCAATTCTGATGCTCAAAGTTAGTCATCCCAGAATAGGAAGCACAATGTAGAGAGAAACGGCCAAGGGGAAAATGGTCCCTTTCTAGGAGAACACTTATTCTGAAACAAAATATACCGATATGTAGAACTGCTAATGAGGAACATTTGCTTCCTACTAGGCAGCGGCTGCCCCTGGATGCATCTGGGGCAAGGACCAGGTGCAGGCAGAGGATGAAGGTGCAAAGCAGGGCTCCCAGGAACAACTGGAAGCCCCAGCTGGCCCCTCCCATTTCCACATCTGTGCTCTCCCGCGCCCCCTCACCCCTAACTTGCCAGCGCCCTGCCTTCCTGCAATACACACCCAGCCTCGGAAAGCCCCCAAGAGCAGGTGGGATGTGGGACGGGACGGGGGGGCCCAGCTGGGTCTCAGCTCTGTTGTGGGCCTGGCCACGTGGACACGGCCGGGCAGGGGTCTTCCAGGGTGGGATGCGCTCAGCCCCGAGGAGGGCAGGAGTGGGGTGCTTAAAGCAGCCCTGTGTCCCCCTGTCTACTTCTCACGGTGCTGGGGCTGGGACCTGCGCTTGGCACCCGCCAGGCAAGGGCTCTGCCACAGATCTCCACCCCGGCCCCAGTCCTTCTGCTTCCATCTGCTTTCCCACAACATGTTGGTTTTGTCATTTCAAGCAGCAGTGAAGGCAAGCATGGAGGTTTTTGTTTGTTTGCTGCTAGTTGTTCGGGTCAGGAAAGGGATTTAAAAAGAAGGGCCCTGACCTGAACGCTGCTTCAAATTTCACTGCCTCTAAATCCAAATGACTGTCCATGCCAGAGGCTCACTGGTGACTGTCTCCAGCCCCTCAACAGGGCCACTGAATCCCTGTCTTCCCTGGAGTCCGGCCAACCCTAAAAGAGGGAAGGAGGCCTGTGTACCCCAGAGGACCCGGCCCGGAGTGTGGAAAGGTATGCAGGGTTTGAAAGTCAAACCTAACATTGAGTTCTGCCTTTCTTTTTTCCTGATCAAATTTACCATTTCTCTTGCTGTGAAAATATGAAGATGTGCCCAGTGATTCCCGTCTCCCATTTCCCCTCCAGAGTCCGCCCTTCCTTCCTTCCTTCCTTCCCTCAGGAACTGGACAGAGCGTGAGGTCCTGTGGGCGCCCAGCTGGTGCGGACGGCCTCTCGCTCGCCTCTGCCTGCTGGGGAGATGGACGTGAAGCCAGAACTCAGGGTGCAGGGAAGCCAGGAGACCTGGAACACGCGCCCCCAGGAGACCCCACAGGTGCCATCAGGGATGGGGGCCAGGCCCTGCCTGCAGGGCAGGAGACGCCATGGGTTCCCAAGTCCCAAGCTGGCCGAGCACCAGCCCTGACGAGGCCCCCAGACCTCAGGGCCTCGGGCCCAGGACACAGCAAGTCACTGTCCTCCTGTCCCAGCCTCCAGCCCCCACTATTACTCAGGGGCCTCTTGCCTAGGCACTACCAGCTCAAGATGCCCACTCGCCTTGGCCCGTGTCCCCTCCTGGAGCGGGGGCTCTCCCTGTAACAACACCACCTGTGCTGTTTCCAGCATAGGCCGGGGTGGATGGGGCTCCTCTCCAGCTTCATGGTCTACTCAGCTCTTCCTTAGTCTTCTGCAACCCTAACACAGAGTTTTGCATTTCAGATATTGTATTTTCCTGTTCTAGATTTCCAGTTGGTTCATTTTTTTCCCTCCCCAAGACAGGGTCTCACTAATGTAGCCCAGGCAGGACACAAATTCTCAGCAATCCTCCTGCCTCAGCTTCCCTAGTGCTGGGATTTTAGGTGTGCACCTCCACGCCCGGCTCAGTGGGTTCATTTTTAGGAACCGTTTCCACTCCCTCCTGAGATTCCCCTCTGTCTACTGTCATGCCTGTCTTTCCTGTCAAACCCCACAGATGTAATGGCTGCCTGTGGCTTTCTCCAGCAATTCCCTCACCTGGGCCCTCTCCACTGCTCTTGGCCACGTTCTTGTTTGTTCTGTTTCCTTGATGAGGAGCCACAATTTCCTGTTTCTTAGCAAGTCTGGTGATTTCCTATTCTATGTTGGACACTGCAGATCGGGGGGGGGGGGGTGTCTGGATTGGTTCTCCCCTTAGAGATCTGAGTTTTGTTCTGGAAGTTTCTTCTAACCCTCTCAGGCTTGTTCTTATTGTTCATTATTAAGCTGCCTGCTCTGATTTTCTCCCCTGTCCTGGAGTGTCACCCCCATTCTAACACACAGCAACCCCTCCCAGTCCCTCTCTGCGTCCCCTGCATCCCACAGCCCCGGGGCCTGGTGCTCTACCAGCCCAGGGCACGGGAACCCGACTGCAGAGGGTGCAGCAGGCAGCAGGTGAGTCACCATAGCAACCAACCATTTCTGCGAAACAGCTGGAATCCACTGCTGCTGATGATGTAGAGGACAATGCCCTGCTCAGGTTATTATTGTGCTAGCCACAGGCAGAGGTCAGGACCAAGAGCTGCCTCGGTGGCTTTCCAATAGTGCCCACTGCACAACTGCCAGTGTCCCCACGGGAACGCAGGGGCCCTGAAGCTGGTGGGGCCCCTCTGCTCTGCTCCTTGAGCTCCTGTGTCACCGTGCGTAAGCAGCTGGCACAGCGCCCTCGGCCCAAGTAGCCTTCCCTGGCTCCACTGCTAGCTAGCTCTGCACCTCCCGAACAACTCACCAGCAAGGGGAAAGGCCTCCCTGAGGACAGGTCCCAGAGATGGGGAGGGCACAGCACCTGCAGCAGGGGTTGTGGCTGGTGAACCACAGTCTGATTCGGCCACGTCCATGGCGATCAGAAGTTATTTGGAACCCTGTGCTTGCTTTGCGCGTAAGACCTGCAGTCCGGGATCAGACTGGAAGTCCCTTTCAGACCAGTCCCTACCTCTGGGCTACTCGGTGCTAACTTGGACACTGGCTGGCGTGAGGGGCACGGAGTGCAGAGCGGTTCCAGGATGGACAGAACCAACTGGTGCGGTGCCCGGGTGACTGGTGACAGCAGGCAAGGCCCTGCTCCCACCCTCAGGCTCTGACTGCAGCCCTGAGTACAGAGGAGCCAGCAGGCACCCGAGGCCCAGCTGGTCCAAAGCCCTGGGTTCTGGACAAGAGCGAAGGCCAGGGCTCACGTTCTCACTGTGATCGGGGCTGCAGGGAGGCTGAGCACCCAGCGGTTGGGTTCTCACCTTCTCTGGTGTCCCCCGGCCTCCTCTTGGGGACTGGCTGTTCCCGCACTCCGTGTGGGTGACTCCCTGTCCCCCTGGAATCCCCTGCTCTCTGATGGAGAGCTGACAGAACCACGTGGTGAAGGCGCCGTCTGCCCTCCCTGACAGAACTGCGGAGGTAATGCATGTGACTTCTGACCTCTGTGGTGTGAAAGGTCCACCGCAGGAAACCAGGTGTACAGACCCAGGCCTGGGCTGAAAGCTCTTTGAGACTTGGGGAAGAAGCCAGCGCACGCACACACACACACCGCGGCTGTGCGCCAGCCACTTTCAAGGGGAGAGTCACCTGCCGCCGAGGTCTCATGAAAGAAAATACACATTCGGGTGCTGTCTGTAAATGCTGAGAACCTTATGAACTTTCCCTGAGCCCCAGTTTATGCGCTCACTGGCTTCCTGTTTGTGCGAGCCTAATAAAAGTGAGGAGCACTGTCAGCACGGGGCTTTTGTCCACAAGAGGCAGAGTCCACGGGCCCTCCTCTTCCAAATCATCCTTGCATCCTTTGCTTTAGGACTCGTTTGTCCCCTGGTCGGGGAGAAACTCGAAGGCTGGCCTCCTACAGGCCACGGAGACCTTGGGTGACCACTGTCCTATAGGTAACTGGGGCCAAGGCTCCTGCTTCCCACCTGCCCACCCTCACCTTCACTTGCCCTACCCCCAGGCACCCCAGAGGGGCTCCCCAGCTCCCAGGAGACCCCAGAGGGCATCACTGGGGGGCGCCGTGGGCCCACGTTCACCTTTGCATACGCGGTTGTCCTGATAAACCACTGCCTGAGAAACCGCTGCTCCACCTTCGTGCCTGAGCGCCAGGAACGGCCGTGCTCATCCACCTGCTCATTGGCGAGCACCGTCTCATCCACTGGGTCCCAGTTGACCAGGGCCTGTGGGGACACAGGAGACAAATGAGTGCCCGTGGAAGGTGCTCGGAGGCCCGGGGCTTCTCGAATGCCAGGGGGCTGCACGTTCAGCAGCTGCCCTGGCGCTGGAGGGCACTGGCCTGGGGGGAACAGCGTGCGGCTGCATTGTGGAAGGGAAGGGAGGAGGCCCCAGGCAGGCGTGCCGTGCAATGTTGGCATCTTCTTGGGCAGTGGGATGGACTCGAAGGATTTGACAGTCAGTAAACAGAAAAAGAAGAAATGGCAGGCACTCGGCGTGCAGCAGGATGGGGCCATTACGCCTCTAACACAACGGCTGATACTGAGTGACTTCCACAGGCCAGGCTCTTCTGACTCTCCTAGCACCTGCTTGACTCCACTGTGCAGCTGAGGACCGTGAGGGAGAGAGAAGTGGACAACCACGTGGAGTCCCCATCAGCGAGGGCCAGGCTGGGCCAGGAAGCCAGGTCTCTAGAAACTACTAAGTAATTTTCAAAAACTCCCATTTGACCAGAAGGAAGCTCCCCCGCCGCCATCCCAAGCTCCTAAGGCAGAGAAGCTGAGCCAGTCCCAGCACCCGGAAGGAAGCTCCCCCGCTGCCATCCCAAGCTCCTAGGGCAGAGAAGCTGAGCCACACGGGTGCCAGAAGCACCCCCCCACCCCACCCGTGGAAATGAGAAGACAC